TTAGCTTCCTAAGCCTTCTTAAACATTCTGCTCAGCATACAGACACTAAGAAGAGCCAAAGTGGCAGACTACAAAAAAAGGTACACAGCATCTGAGGTCAAAGTAGTATCTGGATATTAACCCTATGAAAACCATACCCCATCCATGAAAAGGGTGACAGTGGCAGTGTAGGGTTGGGGTGTGTGACTCAGTGGTAGAGCGAGCTTACCTAGCACATGCGAGGCCTTGCATTCCACCCCCAGCACCACAAACTACACAAAGAGAGAGTGAATACTTATACAGCAGGCTAAGAGCCCATGAACTTTTAGTTTCTGGTAGGTACACTATTAAAGGTGCTCCCAATTCTTAGGCAGGAATTTCTTTCCCTTTCTTTTTCCCTCTTATGTATCTTCTATATCACAATCAATTGCTAACATGCTACATCCATGACAGGAGTGGGAAAACGGTTAAAACAGAAGCCATAGTAGCACAAAATCCTGCTGCTGTAAGTTAAAACTAACCGAATAAATGGATGCTGCTGCTTTACTGAGGGAACAACTGAGGAGAGAATATGGTTTAGAGTCTATTACTTTGGGGACCAGCACTGTTGCACTGCTAAGTTCATTCCTATGAATGCTGTAAATGGAGAGTGAGTTTGAGGATTAAGGACTGAGAGAGGTCAGAGATGTTACATGGGCAGTCCTTCTTTTAAATTTTTTAAAACAAATTAGGGTCTCAAGGGACCTGAGCTTTTCTCAACCCTTAAATGAGGTCATGACATGGGGTCTCATCTGCAGCAGGGTCCCCTGGGTGATGGAAGACAACCCATTCCCTACTTGTGCTTCTTTTCTTTTCGCTGTTCATACAGTAGACAGAAACCTAATCTGTGATGTTCATGAGACATACATATATCTAGCTACCAGTAACCAGGAGTTAAAAAAATAAACTAGTATAAAATGGAAAGCTGACACTTCTATGTTTGCAATGTGCACAAAACAAATCTATGTAATAAGGGTGACTAGCAAGCCTCTCTATACATGCCAGAATGTGCTGGAAGAGAGATGCTCCCACTGATTTTCCATGTATAATGAAGTTACCTACTGTCTTGGTAGACCCAGATCTTGCTCAAGAATTCCATGGAAAGGAAAGTTCTCCACTTTCATGACATCCCTCACCATTACCTTCTTCTCAAGTCACCGCCAACCAATAATAGACAGATGACAAAAGGGAGATAAGGAGAGACAGGAAGACAGAGGACAAAGGAGGGCAGAAGCTGAGAAGCAGGAGCCTTCTCCCAACTGGCCTGGCACAAAATGACTTTGTCATCACTGTTGTAACTGTCACCCTTCTACATCTGGAGAAGTCTGTGCCTAAGGACGGCACACAACACAAGAAGGAAGTTGGCATTCCACATTATCTGTACTAAAACAAACGCCAATCTAACTTCCTTGGCTTTTATTTTGATTTAGCCCACTGCCTTTGGGGCCTATCCAGATCCACTCTAATTTCCTTTATAAGCAAGCATCTTGCCAAGTGTGGAGGGACTGGACTACATGCACATACACACGTCCCCTGCTTAGGATGTCTGGGTGTATGTACGAAGGCACTAAAGCGGTTTTAGAGAATGCAGGCAGCAACCCCCACCTCCTCACTTTACCTGTGGAGCTGGAGTTTCTTTCCTACCAGGAAGCTTAATGTTTGAAAGAAGTAGAGGCCAAGCTTGGGAACTCTGAGCCCTGGCCTCAGGAGGGAATACAAAAGGAGAATTCAACATCATCAAAACTGAAAGGAAACATTCCACATCTCTGCCACCCAGGATGGGGACATTAAGCAGCAGATCTTCAAAACAGCAATTAAAACAAGCACAACAGTAGCTGGGAGCTAAAAAAAAGAAAAAAAAGAAAAAAGAAAAAAGTAAAACCACTTGTTCCTTATTAGATTTTTCTATTTTCTCCTCCAGTAATGAACAGAGGTGAAACAGACATTCTTTGTTATGGAACAGTCCATCATCTTCCTCTAGCAATGCCTATATTTATAAGATTTGTTCCAAAAATTATTAACCTATACTTTCTAACTTTACATAGATTCTCAGCAATCCAACCATATTATTTTTACAGAATATAGCTACTCTTTTTTTCTCTTTAAGCTGTTGTTTCTTTCTTTATTCCTTTCTTTTGTTGCTGGGGCTGGAGAGACAGGGAGAAGGGCTTCACTGGAAACAAAAAAATGGTTGAGGAGATTCCAGTTTAGCCTTATACAGAACAGTGTGGCGCAATCCCACTTGCACACACCAGACACTCCCCCATTCAGTGACGCGCAGTTTCAGCAGAGGCCATGACAAAGCTCTTGGAAAGCATGATCCTTCTCCTGTAGTCATTAAGATAATGAATTTACTTGCTGCTGCTAAACTTATCATTTTTAAAAAATATTTCTTGTATGTTTTAAAATGTGTGATCCCCGGTATGACAATAATGTTTGGAGACTTTTCTTTTTACACTTTTTGTAAGTAAAAATCGTTTAAACTTTTTGAAGTTTCAGGAACTTGTAAAAGTTTATTAACAGGAAAGAAACAGCCGTCTATCTAGGATAAGACATGGTTAATAAACCATCTTCAAAAAACTGGCTTCCTACCCTAGAATTCCTGAGAATGCTTGCAAATTTTAAAGCAGGAAAATAAATGTTAAAAACAAAAACACTGTTAAATGCTCCCAGAGTTAGTCTTCATCTAAAATATATATTTATATATGTGTGTGTGTGTGTGTGTGTGTGTGTGTGTGTGTGTGTGTGTGTGTGTGTGTGTGTGTGTATACATATATGCATGCACTTTTTGGTCTTTTTTTTTAAAAGTTTTTAATTTTTTTCCCTTTAAGCTTATGATGGAAGAACATTTTAGCTTCTCATGTTTATTTTTACATATTTCAAATCCCTCATTATGTCTTGTAAACAAGAGGGGCTCTAGCACCCGGCTTTCACCGTAGTATCGTAAGAACTCAACTAAGCCATAGTGCAGGTCAAGGACCCAACAGGCAGGAGGAGGAGGGCAGGGCAGGACATGGGCATGAACCAAAAGCGGCAGTGGGCAGTCCCCACTGGCTCACAGGAACCCTGGGATGAGCTCCTGGCCAGAGGACACTAAGATTTAACCTTCAGTCTGCAGATATCTGAAAATAAGCTGCGCTTCACTTGGAGGTCACCACCCATGACAGAGCTCTGCTCCAATGCAGAGAGCAGTCGGGCTGGAAGGAGACGTTTCTTTTGTGGGGGCAGAGGTGGGAGGGGCATGGTGGTGATGAAAAGTGGAGATTAGGAGGAGGGCAGAGTCCATGTGAACAAGGCATTGGCAGGAACAAATGATCACTGCAAACTGATTTGTCCACCCAGACTGGCAAACGTGTGGTGAACGATGCCTGTTAATTTCTTCTGCAGCTAGGTTTATATTCACCAGGGTAAGCCAAGAAGACTACAGAATTTCTCACTCATTGTCTCACAAAGCCACTTACATGCAAATATATATATATTTTTTGCTTTTTCCTATCCATACCCATTCACCCACCTACACAAAAGACACAAGCTGAAAGTCAAATACATTAGGCATTATTGTATCCTTCACTGAAGATGCTAAAGAAAGAAAAACTCCCTTGTCCTCAATAGCAGCAAGTCACAGAGGACAGTAGAGGTCTGCTCCCACCAGGGGTTGGAATGGGCAGGTAATTGCTGGTACAGAATGTCGGCACTTCATGTTCAACAGTATGATGCAGACTGGGACATCCACACAAGTGCTAGCATGTTACCGGCACACATCTCCCCCAATACCCATCTACTTTGTATACGGGGATTCCCCTTCAGATTTGCTGTCACTCTCTTCACAATAAGCAGTTTGATATATTTTGATTCCAACATAGTACACACGTTGGTGATAACTGTGGATTAAACATTGCCTCCTGTTCGGCCCAGAGAACTACTACATTGATGCTTTTTTAAAAAAGTCTTTAAATACCAAAATAAAAAAAGCAACATTACAGGAAAAAAAAAAAAGAGGTCAAAACCCAAACAAGGTGCAATACTTAAGTCTTTGCTAAGTTATTTCTGCCTAAGCAAAACCACATACACAGGAAATACACAACACAGAGAAACAAAGGGAGACACTTGAAGTACACACTGGTTTAAGAACATTCGTTAAGTAAACGTTTCTGTCAGTGATGGCCTGGTGCTGTAACACGCCATGGCCTGGCACAGGTAATGCTCAGCGAGAGGCGCAGAGAGGGAGGAGCTGCGATGCTTCCAGGAGGCTGCTCACAACTTACTGCTTTGTTTTCCTCAAAGATAATGAGAATCGATTGGGATATGTAATTCGCATTACCCAATTCCTTTCTGATGAATTTCTGATCACACAGGAAAAGAGGGAACACAGTTTCTCTGCTTTTGAGACATCACATGATTTTAAAACTATTGAATCTTCTGTTCCCATTCAAAGTAACAAAAAGGCCTGCAAAGGACTTAATAAATTCCGATGTGCCTTGGCAGCCACTCATTTCAAAACACAAAAGTGAACACAGTTGCTCCAAGAGGTACCTGATGCCCCTGATTGCTGGACTTGGCAGTGCTCCGCTCTGCTGCTAGGTCAAGAGAAAGCTGGAGAACCTTGTCTCTGGCTGTTCCACAAGTGGATAGGAGCGCCCTGCTCTGATCAATGAAGCACCCTTCGTCTCAATGCAGCCTGACGAAGTGGCTTGAGTTGCAGTGGCTCCCTGTGCTCCTGTGTTCTCATAGTTAAAACAATAAGAAGGAAAAGCAGACGGCTGGCCAGCCTGTGGACTGCAGCTTTCTGAGAAGTCAGGTGGGATGGGACAAGGAGGGCAGGACGCAGGCACACACACAGACAGAGAGGAGAATGCACACAAATGCACATGAACACACGTGCACACACATACCAGAACGAGCATGCCTGGGCAGTTACATGTGCCAGAACACACTGGTATTTATCAACCAGCCAATCACAAAATTTTTCCTTTTTTTTTTTTAGTTTTTTTGTGTTTTGTTTTAAAGTGAGGCTCCGTCAAGTCTTCCCTCCCCCTCCCCCAACAATTCTTTTGAATTTCCCTCCCACCCAAACATGGTAGACCTAAGGACGGAAACACACCCAGTGCAAACAAAGTTAAAAAGCTATTTTTTTTTCAGTATATATGTTTCTTAGCAACAACTTCCATATAACATGAAAAAAGTGAAAAACTAGAAACTAATTTTTTTAATTTTTTGTGTTTAAATTTAAATGGTATGTGTACTTGCTTCACATTGTCTTTCTAGGTTGGCGTTCATGATTCAAGTATTTCAAGAGTGATATGTTCTCTTTTTGGATTCATATTCCAAACGAAAAAACTGAAGTTATAAGGGAGGCAACTATGTGCTCAGACAGTCTGTCAATGACCCACCTTTTTTTTTTTTCTCTCTCCGTTTTCTTTTTTCCTTTTAAAAATGTATTTATTGCAAGTTGAAAAAAAAAACGAAAAGGTCAAGTTAGTGCTGCTGCTGTTCCAAAAAGGTCACGAGGTCAGAGTTGAAAGTTCTAAGTTCAGATTGAATCCGACCCTCCTCCCAGAAGGTCACCAGGTAGTAAAGGAGCAGGGCTGCCCATCCTATGGGGATCTTCCACCGTTGGGACTCCCCACAAGCTAGAAGAATAGTTTGGGGGGCCCCACAATGAAGCGCCAGCGAGATCAGCCCCACTGCTGCCACCAGCACTGCTGCTCCACTGCCCGAGCCCGGTGGACCCACCGAAAAGGTTCAGCGCAGGTCCCACGGGGTCTGACTGGTTCTGGCTGGTCTCTAGTGACTGCCACCCTGTGGCTGGTGCGCTCGGGGTTGCTGTAGGTGTAGGGGGCTGAGCTTGTGCCAGAAAGCGGCTAACTTCATCCTCAGTGGCAAACTCGGCCAGGATGGTAGTGTTTCCCAACACACACCTAAAAAAGGTGGAAGAGTATGATGTGATTCAAGGGCAGTCCTCAAGCACACAAGGGATGGAAGTCTTCTGCTTCTAGGTTGCCTGCATGCATGCACACTTACTTGGTTATTTATTTAGATGGAGTCTCACACATCCTAACTATGTAGCCAAGGATGACCTTGAACTCCTGATCCTTCTGCCTCACCTCCTGGAGGCTGATATTACAGATGAATGTCATCATGCTTGGCTTATGCAGTGCTAGGGACTGAACCTAGGGATCTGTCCATGCTAGGCAAGTACATACCCAGCCCACCTGAATGGTTTGTGTGTCTATACCTGTGCTCATGCACACTGGGATCAGAGGTCAATCTCAGGTGTTGTATCTTAGGTGCCACCTACCTTATTTTTGAGATATGGTCTCACTCACTGGTCTGGAGCATGTTGATTAGTCTACGCTAGCTGACTAGTGAGCCTCAGGGATCTGTCTGTCTCAACCTCCCCAGTGCTGGGAATACAAGAGTATATCACCATGCCTGGCCTTTTTACATGGCATCTGGGGGATCAAACTCAGGTCCTTCATGTTTGTGCAGAAAGCAATTTACCAACCGAGTTATCTGCCCCCATTCTCTAGGTCTGTATGCTTTTTTGTTTTTGTTTTCACTATGTAGCATGATTGGCCTGGGACTCACTATGTAGTCCAGGTTGGCCTCAAACTCAGAGATCCACCTGTCTCTGCCTCCAGAGTGCTGGAATTAAAGGTATGTGCTATCAAGCCTGGCTTGGCTGTATGGTTTAAATACATTTTTATATTGCCATCTCTCCAGGCCCTGTATGCTTGTGCCCCCTCCCTGTATGCTTCTTAGAATGCAGAATCACAGATCATGACCCAGGCCTAAAGACCAGAATCTGTACTTCTTCTGAGGTAAAGCAACTAGGAATCACCAAAGTTTAAGACAGTCAGAGGATACCACATGTCCATGCCCTTAGGTAGAGTGAGTAGATACATTCTAGACAACTTATGTTGGGGGGTGGGGTGGGACATACAGTGACTCAGAATGCAATCTGAACCCTAAATGTAAATTGTGGACTTTGGAGGGTTAGGTATCAATGAATGTTCATAAATGGTGACAAAATGGACCTCTTTGGTAAGTAATGATAATAATAATAATGATGGGGGAGCATCTCATGGAAAGAGTGGTCAGAAGTATATGAGCGATCTCTGTATTAGCTTAAATTCTGCTATAAATCTAAATATATATATATTTTTAAATTTAATTTAATTTTTTTTTTTTTTTTTGGGTTTTTTGAAAAAGGGAATCCCTTTAGCTCCAGCTGCCTGGAACTCGCTCTGTAGACCAGGCTGGCATTGAACTCACAGAGATCTACCTGCTTCTGCCTCCCAAGTGCTGGGATTAAAGGCGTACGCCACCATGCCCGGTCTAAAATATTTTTAAAATCAATTTATTATTATTATTATGGGGCTGGAGAGATGGCTCAGCAGCACTCTTGCAGAGGACGTGGGTTTGATTCCTAGCACCCACATGGTGGCTAACAACTGTCCATAACTACAGTTCCAGGGGATCTGATGCCTTCTTCTGATCTTGGGCATTACGTGACACAGGTGCGCTTACATACATGCAGGCAGTACACTCATACACATAAAGTAAAAATAATTATTTATTAATTAGTTGATCAATTAACCCATACCTAAGGCTCACGGAACACAGTGGAAGAGTGGGCAAAAAGACTGTTAGAGCCAGAGGACCAGGAAGCCTACTGATAGCATCTTCAAGACACGACAGGGAAGCTGCACCCATGAAACCCCCACAATGTGGCTGCCTAAATAAGACCTGCATAAAGACACCACCAGTTGATGTGCCAATGTGTACGGGGGAAATTTCACAATGTCCCACATCCAGATAAAGAGCTACAGGCAATCAGTGGTTGCTCAGAAAGGGAGAAGCAGTTTTTTCCAGGGACCAGCTGTGATAGGTTATCCAATCCTGAGTTGTCAGACCTAAACACATGTACATACCAGGAATACTGAATGGACTAATTAGGTTTTATATATGTGTAAACACATGTATATACGCACATGTGTGTATATGTGTAACAATAAAGAAGAGGTCACAGAATTGAGAAGAGTGGCGGGGCATGAGAGGAGTTGGCGGGGGAGGGATGGGTAGGAATGATGTAACATACATTACTCATGTGTGAAATTCTCCAAAAATTAAATTATAAAAAATAAAAATTTAAGATTTGAAAAAGTAAAAACAAAATGTCAGCTGTTTGTATCCCATGTGTGGTAAGGGACCACACCGACAGCATCAGGAAAGCCAACATCAGACCCAGAGAGTACCACCCTGTCTTATAGAATGGACTCACTGCTTGGGCCTCACCATCACTTCTTTGTGCTCTCTGTGAATTTTTATCATAGCATCTGTGGCCAGCTCTTTGTCCAGAAGTCTGTCAGTGGTTGGGAGAGGGATGGTCAATGTCTGATCCATTCTCAACCATTTCATGCAAAAACGATGCTACCCATAAAAATCATAAAATTTCACCATTATTTATATGATGCAACAATAAGCAGCTAGATTCTATCATGAAAAATAACAACTTATAATATTTCACATTTTCAAAATGGTTTTGTTTACAGTATCTAAAATTTACTCACTACTTCAGAAATTATTTACATTTAAAATTCTGATTGTAAGCCTAATATACAGGAGAATGCAGACATAGGCAAAAAAGATCACCACCTCAGAATTTGCAAATGCACACATGACAGAGTTACTTTTGTGTAGGCTTGTGTTAATGTTTAATTGAGAAAGACCAGAACACTCATGTGTGCTTGTCTAGGTGGGTGCAATATAAAATACTTACATGTGCAGTGCAGTCTGGGCCTTGGCTGCCTCTTGTTTGGTGCTGTATCGGATCAGGGCAGTGCCCTGGGTTAGGTTCAGATGGAATGTCAGCAGTGGACCATGCTGCATGCAGATCGTTCTCAAGGTTGACCCATCAATCTAAGACAACACATGTGAGTTAAGAGGTGGAAGTGGCATGGGAGAGGCAAATTTTAAGATATTTAAAGAATGAGACCGAAGCCTACTATTTCTATTTTGTAAACAAGATTAAAAAAATTTTTTTTATTATTATTATTTTATGTGTATGAGTATAATGCTTGCAAGCAGGTGGGTGCACCCACGTTGTACAATGCATGCAGAGGTCAGAGGTCAGAAGAGGGCATTGGATCCCCTGGAGCTGGAGTTACAGACGACTATTAGCTGGGAATTGAACTTGGGTCCTCTGCAAGAGCAGCCAGTGCTCATAACTGCTGAACCATCTTTCCAGTCCCCAGCAAGATGTTTTTTGATAAATGTAGTTCGAAATAAAAACATATGATCCAACCTTATGGCCTGTTTTACTAAAAAGGTGAAGAAATGAGAATTTAAGTAAACATGCAAATCTACCAATATCATCACTAACATTTTTTTTTGCTTCCCCAATAAGTAATCTCACAAAGTGATAGAAAGACACTGACAAGAAAAGCACCCTGGACACCTGACTGTTGAAGCTGGCCTAAGCACATGCTATTCATTCTAACACTGTCACATTTCTACTTTGTACAGAGTTTAGACTATTTCCATTTTTGTTTTTTTGAGACAGGGTCTCCCTGTAACCCCAGCTGGCCTGGAACTCACTATATAGACCAGGCTGGCCTCAGTCTCACAGAGATCTGCCTGCCTCTGCCTTCTGAGTACTGGGATTGAAGGCATATACCACCATGCTTGACTTACCTCCTTTAAAAAAAATTTTTGTGTGTATGTATGTGTATGAGTGCTTTGCCTGCATGTATGTTAAGTACACACATGTCGTGCAGTGCCCAAGGATGCCAGAAGAGTTTTGTTGGATACCCTGGAACTAAAGCTACAGACGGCTATTAGCTGCCATGTAGGTGTTGGGAACTAAACCCAGGCTCTTTGCAAGAACAGTCAGCACTCCTAATTGCTGAGCCATCTCTCCAGTCTTGCACCTCCTTTTTATGAATAAGTCCATTTGAACAAAGGCTGTAGGGGATTAGGGTTTTCTCCAACCTATGAGTTATATGAATGAATCTATTTACTCTATGGATTAAGTTTACATCAAGATTTTTAAATAATTAAATATAAGATCTTTAAGCATTCAAATACTTCAGTTTACTTCACTGGAAAATAAATAGATTACTTATTGGGATTGGGCACAGTTGTACATGCCTTTAATCCCAGCACTCTGGAAGCAGAGACAGGCAGATCTCTGTGAGATTAAGGATCAAGGCCAGCTAGGTCTACATAGTCAGCTACATGGCAGGACATGTAGTTCAGTGGGAGTGAGCTTGCCTAGCATGTAAAGGCTTGGGTTCAACTGCTAGCAGCAGTAGGAAACCTGTAGCTCTTTATAGAAACTATTTGTTAGTATATTTTATAAGTGACATGAATTACTTGAGCATGTCAGTATATGCCACCAGTTGACTTTTTAGAGACAGATACCCGTCTTTCAAACATACTTTGGTGGTGAAAAGTCAACTGTCTTAGACATCAGATTTGCTTTAATAACAACTTAAGCTATGAATGAGATTAATATTTGTTAGATAGCTTTAATTTTTAAATAAATCAATTCTTTCTAATGTAAACACAGCCAATCTCACACTGAGCTCATACACATATGTGATGCATACTTACTATTTTTTATTGGATAGAAGGAATGAATGGGCTAGCATGCCCAGGCTCTTTCAAAACAGGGAATCTCAATGCTTCTCATTCTTTCTACATTATAACCACTACATGGTGTGATAATTCTTACAATCTCTTAAGAGAAAAATGAGGCATATATAGTTTTAAGCATCATCATGTAAGATTCTTCATACTGGGGCTATAGATAGAGGTAGAGCATTTGCTTACCATGTGTAAGGCCCTGGGTTTGAGCCTTAGCCATTCCCCAGAGTCTTCACCACACTTTAGTCAAGTATTAGCTAAGGAAATAGAGTGGGGTTTTTTGCCTTTTTTTTTTTTTTTAAATAAAGACACTATAGGTTAGAACTCTTTATGCAGAACAGTCTGGCCTCAAACTCACAGAGATTCACCTGTCTCTTGAGTGCTGGGATTAAAAGCGTGTACCATCATGTCCAGCCTTAAACTAGAACTGAATCTGAGTTGATTAGTTCTGTAGGTAAAGAATGCTTTTCTCAAACATGCCTAGAAATAGCACCTTATGATTTACTCCCTATAAATAGGTTCACTAGGCAAGTAAATTTTGGCAAAATGTATTTTTCCCACAGAGAATCAATATAGATACTAGCATATTACATACTAGCATATTACAATGTCTAAGAAATATCGTAAGTGAAGAACTCTATTTCCTTTTGTTTAATCAACTATTTATATATTTAATATTTTATTTATTTATTTATCTATTTATTTATTTATTTATTTGTCTTTTTTATTGAGACAGGGTCTCCTTGTAGCCCCAGCTGTCCTGGAACTCACTATGTAGACCAGGCTGGCCTCAAACTCACAAAGGCCCGCCTGCCTCTGCCTCCCAAGTGCTGGGATTAAAGGCATGTGTCACCACGCCTGGCTTAATATTTAATTATTTTAATGTGTATGCATGTATTGCATGCGTGTAGGTAAGTGCACCCGTGTTGTGCAATGCCCTCGGAGAACAGAAGAGGCTGTCGGAGTTATGGACAGTTGTTAGCTGCCATGTGGGTGCTGGGATTCGAACCCGGGTCTTCTGCAAGAACAATCAGTGTTCTTAACTGCTGAGCCATCTCTCTAGCCCCTAATCAACTACATATTTTAAAAACTAGGTCAGACGCCAGGTGTGGTGGTGTACGCCTTGAATCCCAGCACTAGGGAGGCAGAGGCAGGGGATTCTCTATGAGTTCAAGGCCAGCCTGGTCTACATAGTGAGTTCCAGGACAGCTGGGGCTACAAGGAGACCCTGTCTCAAAAAAAGAGACAAATAAATAAATAAAATATTAAATATATAAATAGCTAAGGAAATAGAGTGGGTTTTTTTTGTTTTTTTTTTTTAGCAGGTTTACAGCATGCTAGTCAAGTGTGTTCTACCACTGATCTCTATTCAGAGCCCTAGGTAACATGTGTTTGTGGTGTATGTGTTTGTGGTTCATGTTCATGTGCATATGTGGGTATGTGGAGGCCAGAGGTCAACATCAAGTGTCTTCCTCAATCTTTTTTCACCTTATTTTTTGAGGTAGGGTCTCTCACTGAATCTTATTGATTTGGCTAAGCTGGTTGACCAATGAGCTCCAAGGATCTGCCAGTCTCTGTCTTCCCAGTAATGGGGTTACAGATGTGTTGCTGTGTCCAGCTTTTATGTGGGTGCTGGGAATCTGAATCCAGGTCCTCATGCTCTTTGCCAACTGAAGCATCTCCCTGGCCCCTCCAGTTAACTTTTCTGTCTGTAGTTAAATCACACCTTCCTAGTGGAACATGGTGGTGCAGGCCTTTAATCCCAGCACTTGAGAGGCAGAGTCAGGTAGATCTCTGTGAGTTCCAGGCCGGCTGTGGCTACAGGGAGACCCTGTCTCAAAAAGACAAAACAAACAAAAAAAACCATACACGTACCTTCCTATTTGTTTCCAGATTCCATATATCTATGCAACATACTACTGCTGTTACACAGATATCACCAGGTCACATAGCCAAACTCTCTCTGCTTTATAAACATTTCTAGCATCATAAAGGCTAATGTGAGGCCTTCTGGCCAGCACCCCTCCAGTCAGGAATAGGTTTTGAATCTCAGTGAGAAGGGGAAACCTATTTGACTTCCAGGCAAGACCTCTACAGTGGCCAGGAAATAAATGAACTTTCTTTTTTTTCCCTTTTCTTTTACTTTCGGAGACAGGAACTCATCATGGAGCCATGGCTGGCATGGAACTCGCTGTGTAGATCAGGCTAGCCTCAAACTCACAGAGATTTGCCTGGCTCTGTATCCCGAGTGCTAGGTTATCTGCTAACCTCCTTCATCTCTCAGTTTCTCTCATTCTTAATAAAATCAAGTCCTATCTGGACAACCACCAGAAAGCAAGATTACCTGTGGAGTGAGATTGTGAAGAACCAGCCAGTAACTAGGACGAACAGAGCTACCACCATCACTCCAGGTAGAAGCTGTAAGCAACCAGAGGAAGGTTAAGGAAGAATGATTTAAACACATATGTGCTTGCACATATACAAGCACTAAAACCACTCAAGAAACCATGCAAGTGAAACATTTTCATGTAGACCACCTGTCTCTTTTCTCCTTTTACATTCTCCTACCTGACCCTGGTCTTCATGGTTTCTCCTCTTAGTCCTTGAACCCTTCCAACTCTTCTGCTCATTTGCAGGGCAGTATTTCCCTCCTAGCATCCTCCCCCTATAATTAACCATTTCTACTGTATCTGCCCCTTGAGAGGTCCTGGGTCATTTGCCTGTACTAATTGCAACTTTTTTTTTCTTTTTTTTTTAAATGGCTTTTTTAAAAAAAATTTATTTTATGTGTATGAGTGTATTGCCTGCGTGTTAGTTCACCCGTGTTGTGAAATGCCCACAGAGGATAGAAGAGGCTGTCGGATCCCCTGGGACTGGAGTTTCAGACAGCTGTTAGCTACCATGTGGGTGCTGGGATTTGAACCTGGGTCTTCTGCAAGAACAACCAGTGTTCTTAACCATGGAGCCATCTCTCCAGCCCCCCCTCCACTTTTAAACTGACACTATCATCTATTTTTTAAAAATATTTTATTTACGCCAGGCATGGTGGCGCATACCTTTAATCCCAGCACTCGGGAGGCAGGAGGATCTCTGTGAGTTCAAGGCCAGCCTGGTCTACATAGTGAGTTCCAGGACAGCTGGGGCTACAGGAAGATCCTGTCTCAAAAAGACCAAAAAAATAAATAAAATTTATTATTTTTATGTATACGATATATTATTTTTATGTATACGATGCCTGCATGAATGTGAGTATACCCGTGTTGTGCAATGCCTGGGGAGGTCAGAAGAGGGAGTCGGATCCCCTGGAACTGGAGTTATGGACGGTTGTTAGGTGCCATGTGGGTGCTGGGATTTGAACCTGGGTCCTCTATAGGAGCAGTCAGTGCTCTTAACTGCTGAGCCATCTCGCCAGCCCCACTAATTGCAACTTTCTAATCAAAATATGCTTTTTCCTCTAGCAGACAACCATGTTCTCTGTTTGGCCCTGTTCATGTCCTCCCCATGTTGTGAACAAAGCTGCTCTTGCTTCTTTAGGCAGATCCTCCTCACCCGAGGCAAGCCGAGAGTCCTGTGTCCCCCACCCCCTGACTGATCGGGGTGCTGTGCTGCTCCAGGGAGATGCCGGTTTCGGATTGGTTAGGCCAGGGGGTGGACGGGGCAGCGGTGTAGTGTTCCTGGAGGAGATGTGATTTTTCCACATCTTGTTGGAGAGATGAGTGGGGTTGTGTCCTATAGGATCTGGGGACCACGTGGATTTATAATCAGGGAACTTTGCTGTAAGAAGAGAAAATTCAGGAAGTAGTAAAGTTAGATGGGCACCTCTGTCTTAAATTTTGTCTCCACAAAACACACACGTATATTTATATTCTGAAAGTAGTAGTGCTGAGTCTGAGGCAGCCCCTGGGATCCATGAACCCTGCCTGCCCCCAAACTAAACATACCACTAAGAACAGTAAGCACACATTTTAAGAATAGTAGTATTCTAGCCAGGCATGGTTGGCACATGCTTTAATCCCAGCAGTTCTCTGTGAGTTCCAGGCCAGCCAGGGCTACAGAGAGACCCTGTCTCAAAAATAGACACCCCCCCGAACAAAAGTAGTATTAACATAGAACTCTTCTCTGAGCTTACTGAATGCAAAATTTTCAATGGCTGTTACTCTAGGTTGACAAAACTATCATGTGAATTTTAGATTGAATAAGGTAACGAATCTACTTTCTTGGGTAAACACAACTTGAAAGGGAATACAAATTGAAGGAGAAAGTATTCCTAAAGAGATATGGCTAGAATGTTAAGCAAAACTAAAATATTTTATAAATTCTCACTGATTGCATGAAAAAATAACTAGAAAATATGCTTTCCTCATGCCTTCATCCAACATGTTACATACAACACTTTTTTTTTAGGGAACAGTCAACAAATGTTTACTATGCTTAAGGCACCCTACAGCACTGCATATAATACAGTTCTCTGCCAGAGCCTCTGGTTCTCAGATGAGAGACAGAATAGCAGTATTGCAAAAGAACTGGTAACCCTGGCAACAGCACATATGTTCAATACACAGAAGACAGAGTGCTAGGCTGCGAGCAGGGGCTCTGCAAAGACAGATCTGAAGGATTAATATCAAGGGATGGGCTCAGGAAACCAGGAAAGGGGAATTCAGGTTCAGTATAAGCTCCCTGTGTGAGTATGTCTTCCTCCAATATTGGCTGAGAAAGTTTGTGTGGGCAGAGTGTCAAGGAGGCTGCAGGTGGACTGTGGCTGAGTTACGTTGTAGAAGTTTCCACAAGATTCAGTACCAAGTGTTAAAACTAGGGTGAGAATAGACTAGACCAGGAAGAGTGGATTTGAGAGATCTGAGTGCCAAATACAGTCCTAGACAGAGTACTGCCTGGGGCCTGGGGGTGAGGGAGAAAAGAAAAGGGGAGACAACAAGCTCCAGTGATCCTTGTCTCTGCCTCCCCTGCACTGGGATTATAGCTGTAAGCCACCAAGCTTGCCTCTTGTATGTATGGGCTGGGGATTGAGCTCAGGTCCTCATGTTTGTGCAGCAAGCACTTTTCCCATCCCCACAGCTTCTCCCTTAGCTCTTCTACTCCTTAAGTCTCCAAAAACAAACAAACAAACAAACAAACAATAAATCCCATGAGGAACTTAATGTTGAATTAATCAAGATCCTCTTTTTTAATTTGACCATGTGCCTTTTACTCTGTAAATCAGATTTTTGGGGAAAAGCAAGCTACTATTGGCTGCTACAAGGACATTAACTGGAATGAACTGGCTCCTCGTCTAGCCCTTGATGTTGGTAGGCTAGTTAATAGAAGAAGCATTTGGGTCTGCCTGATGGAATGCTCCTACCTGTTTAAGATTCTAACCCTACTGGTCCATACTCCTGTCTTACCCTGTCTCTGTGAGACTAGAAGATCCCTGAGTGGATGGTGAATACAAAAACTGTGCTTGCACCTTTGCTGACCTATGCACATCAACTCCTCTAAAAGCATTCCTTATAAGGGTAGTAAATGTCAGTTTAGAAAAGTGAACCTGATGGAAAAGTGCTAACCAAGGGGAAAGAAGTCACCGCTTACCTGAAGTGCTATGAACGTTGGTAAAGGAGTTGTCAGAGGCACTGTAGGGCCAGGCACCAGGTGAAGGCAGCGAGGTGTTGAGGGAAGAATTAGACCCTTTTGGTGACAAATAAACAAGAAAATATTAAAGACAAATGTCAGTATAGCCAGGGAAACTTTGGGAATATTTAATTTAAACTTAGAAGAGAAAACAAAATGTATCTAAACAATAAAAATGTGAAAAGAAATATTCTATTTTCTGGTTAAATTATTAGGTATCTGCAAACAGAAGCAAAGCCACACGCTGACAACTATGAAAATGCTGGATGTTGAATACACACAGGCCTAATGTACTTGCTTACCTGTGGTGTTATCCCGCAGCAGTTGGTGGTCGGTATCTACAATGGGAGATGTGGCTGTACCCCCCAGCACACTTCCTGGGGTCACATAGGGGTCAGATTCAGGGTCAATATTTTGGATACCTTTCCATGGCACTCCTGGTTGGAATTCTGCGACAAGAAGAAAAATGTTAGGGGTAGGATGCTCTTAAAGAAAACACACACATCAGTTAACCTAAAACTTTAAAATTTTAATTATTAAAATAACTTTTTTGGGGGGGGTCTTTTTGAGACAGGGTCTCCCTTGTAGCCCCACCTGCCCTGGAACTCACTTATGTAGACCAGGCTGGCCTTGAACTCACAGAGATCCCCCTGCCTCTGCCTCCCAAGTGCTGGGATTAAAGGCGTGTGCTACCACGCCCGGCTATTAAAATAACTTTTAAGGTAAGAAATGGCCTTGTGAAAAACCTAAACAATAAATCTATTGTCCATCAGATTTTCACCATGAAATAAAAAAAAAATTTACCCTGAACATGAACTCTTCTTAGTAGCACTTTATGCTAATATATTGTCTATGCATTCACCTGTCTGGTAGTGAACTAGAGCAATCTCATGAAGGGTTGAGCCCATACATGATTTTCCTGCTAATAGAGGAATTTAGGTCTTAAGGATAGGAAAGCAGGAACAGATGCCTGGGGTATCGACATCAAGAAGTTGGAGAAAATCTGGGCTAGAGACTAGTGACCTTTCCCATTTTCTTTACTACGTATTGGCCAAAAAGCACAGACTACTACGCAGTCTGTCCAGGGATAACTAGGAGTAATTTACTGATCATGAGAAACCCTAGACTACATGTGAAAGATTATGTTCTACTGACCAATTGAGGTTATACTTTTTTTTTTGGTCTTTTTGAAACAGGGTCTCCATATAGCCCCAGCTGGCCTGGCATTAGCTATGTAGACCAGGCTGGCCTTGAACTCACAGAGATCTGCCTGCTTCTGCCTCCTGAGTGCAGGACTAAAGGCATGCACCATCACGCCCAGCAGTTTAATAAGCTTTTATTTCCCTAATCGTGTTGAGAAGGAACAATACGCATTATAAATATGACAAGAGGCATTATTTCATTCCATTGCAATAAAATGTAGCTATACACATTCACGTCACAAATGTATACGAGCAAAAAAGAAGTCTGGAAGGACAAACAGAATACTGAGAAAGAGAAAGGGTGGGAGGAAGAGAGAGGGAGGAGGAGGGAATCTATATCTGGGAACTAACTGATACAAATGCTCAAGTAATGAAAAAACCAACTCAACGCACACTTCAAAAGGGGTCATGTTACAAAAACAGTAAGTCCCAGTTATAAGGTTACTTATTTTTATCCCTATATCCCTCCTCTTAAACATTTTTGCTTTTCCCACATTACACATTTCATGGTGTATGCCTTGCCTTTATCAGACAATAATTACTGAATGAAAAAAGAAAAAAGCGTAGGCCTCCTTCAGTAAAGTGGGTTGCAGCAATGTGTTTAGAACCTGAACTTAACAGAAAGACTATTCTAGAAAAAGTGTCTTCTGGATGATACCTGGAGGCCAACTGGCATTGCTGGATTTACTTCCGATTTTATTTGTTGGTGGAGATTTGGCAGGCAACCAGCTATCACCAGCAGGACCCGTATGGCCACCCAGCGTGTCACCTGGGATTATATCAAACTGGTTGTATGGTGACCCTCCTCGGGTCTTACCAGGAGCCACTATAGCGCCTGAGAAAAGAGAGAAGTAATTAAGAAAGGATATATATCAGGCAGTTAGAGAGCCAGTACACAAAACTTTTCTACCATTTTTTTAAATGAAGAAATCAAACAAATACAGTATTTTAAAGTTCACAGAATATTGGGGCTGGAGAGATGGCTCAGTGGTTAAGAGCACTGACTGCTCTCGCAGAGGACCTGGGTTCGAGTCCTAGCACCCACATGTGGCTAACAACTGTCCCTAACTCTAGTTCCAGGAGAATCTGATGCCCTCTTCTGACCTCCGTGGGCACTGCATGATACTTACATACCTGTAAGGCAACACACACACACAAACCCACACACGCAAGCAAACAATAACTGTTTTAAAATTCACAGAATAAGAGCACTGGATTAGGAGGCTACATGGGAGACCTAGCCTACCACTAACAGAAGCATGGCTGTAAGGCTCGCCTCTTCCCTCTCAGTGTCTGCCTAAGCCCACAGCGGTGTTCTTCTTCTTCTTTTTTTTTGGGGGGGGGGGGTCTTTTTGAGACAGGGTCTCCCTGTAGCCTCAGCTGTCCTGGAACTCACTATGTAGACCAGGCAGGCTGGCCTTGAACTCACAGAGACCCACCTGCCTCTGCTTCCTGAGTGCTGGGACTAAAGATGTGTGCTACCACACCCAGCTCTCAAATGATGTTCTACTGTCTCCCCACAGGCTTAAGGGCTGGTTGGGCCTGGGTTATCTGGAAGCAGCAGTGTGCAGATTTCACTAGAGAGAAAGCCATCTGCAATTGCTTTAAATTCCAAGGCAATGAGATGGAATTCCCACCCAAGGTCTTTGCCAGAACAAGGCTAGCAATGAACTTTGCAGCTCTGAGCCCTGGGCCTCACACACAGAACAGCAAGTCCTTTGTCACTCTATTCCCAAGGGCATTCCTGTGGCTTTGTTGGTACTGTTTCATGCATTTTCATGTAGGAAAAATTGAAAGCTTAAGATTCCTTAAGTTAACAACAACAGGAACAATAAAGTGTTTTACTTTAAGTAAAAATTTAGGAGCCCATGGGATACTATTTTCCTTATTTCCCAAATGAAGTTCATATATTCTACCACTCGGCATATTCTTAGGATGGTGGTCCCAAACAGATAAAATGATCTCCAGGATAATGTATTAAAATGCTTGTATAAATATTGAATAAAACAATCTCTTTGGTTTGGACTAAAGGAGTATTATGAAAACTATCTCCATTCTCAACTAAGAGGGTATTTGCTTTTCTGGAGCCAATGACAGAAATCTGACTCAGAGGCACGCCTCAGTGTAGTGGAAAATGAAAATAACTACCTCGAGGACTGCTAAGTAAATGGGAGAACAGTATCTATATGCTCTGAAGAGAAGATACTTTACCTCTGAGACATTTCCTCACATACCATTTTATATTTATTATCCACACCAGGTAAATTACTAACCTAAGGGAGCCATGAAAGTGCACAACACTATGATGACATAGGCCTAAGGTTACTCAGTTCATAAGCAGATTTTGTAATTTTAGTAAATCATTCTTGAGTTTAGCAGGGCAGTCAGAGAGTTCTGTGTGACTCTTTCCCCAGTCTCTAGATGGGCTTACTTCTTAAAGAAATTTTATAATGGGCTTATTAAAGTGGGTTTATGATAGAAACCTGAAAGGCTATGGACTGAATGAGTTGGCTGGGCTGGACCTGCTTGCCCAGGTAAAGACAACTGGACACTATTTATATTGGTTCTCATGGAGACAGTTGAGTCCAAGTGAAATGTTGACAACTGAAACAAACATTGCACTGAAGGCTGAGAGAAGGTTTGGAATTTCTTATCTGTTTTCTAGGGAAATGGTGGAATGGTAAAATCAATTATGGAAAGTTGGGGCCAACACACACTCGCAATGAAAGCTTCTGTTGCTTCCAATGCTGTCCAGCAAGAGAGTGCAATTCACAAAGAACAAGGAACCCTGGAAAAAGTGCAAACTTTGTGTAATTCTGATCTTATTAATCATCTTTTGGAGCTTAAAGGGCAGATTTTCTTTCTTTCTTTAAAAAATATATTTTTATGTGTATTTTGCCTACATGCATATGTGTACTATGTGCACGCAGTACCCACAACCAGAAGAAGGCATCAGATCCCCTGGAACCACAATTACAAACAGTTGTTTGTTAGCTGCCATGTGGGTACAAGGAAATGAAACTGGGTCCTCTGCAAGAGCAGCAAGTGCTTTTAACAGCTGAGCCATCTCTCCAGCCCTCTTTCTTCCTTTTTAAAAAAATATTTTATTTATTATTTTTGTTTTATGTGTATGTGTATATTGCCTGCATGTAAGTAAGTGCACCCATGTTGTGCAATGCCTGTGGAAGACAGAAGAGGCTGTCGGATCCCCTGGAACTGGAGTTACGGACATGTGGGGGCTGGGATTCGAACCTGGGTCTTCTGCAACAGTCAGTGTTCTTAACCGCTGAGCCATTTCTCCAGCCCCTCTTCCTTTGCTTTTTGAGACAGGGTTTTGCTATGTATCCTGGTCTAGCCTTGAGTTCACTATGTAGCTCATGCTGATCTCAAACTTGTGGTAATCTTCCTTCTTCCATCTTTCAAGTGCTGGGATTACAGGCATTGTACAGCCATACCCAGCTTAGGGAAGGGGTTTTAAAAAACCAGATATTGATCTTCAGTCTCTCAAAAAACCACAAAGCTAGGAGTTTAATTTGAGGCTAGCCTGGACTACATACACATAGTAAGACCCTGTCTCAAAAACCCAGCCAAACAGAGAAGCCAGCAATACAAAACAAAACAAATAACAACAACACATCCCTCCATAAGAGAAACAAAAACCCCTCCAGGGGATTGTGTTCTTCCAGTAACTTTAATATGATTGTAATCTTTCATTTTTTTTTTAATTTTTAAAAATTTTATGTGTATGAGTGTATTGCCTTGCATGTATGTGAGTGCACCCGTGTTGTGCAATGCCGCAAAGGTCAGAAGAGGGCTTCCGAGTCCCCTGGAACTGGAGTTAAGGACGGTTTGTAGCCACTATGTGGGTGCTAGGAATCGAACCCGGGTCCTCTGCAAGAGCAGTCAGTGCTCTTAACCGCTGAGCCATCTCTCCAGCCCCATGATTGTAATCTTATAGATGCCCGTTCAGTCATTACTCTCAATTCCATGGCCAATGAGAAATTCTGTCACCTTTAATTAGGACTAGTACTTTAAATTCCTTGTAATCTGAAATGCAAACCTAGCGTTCCTTTTCCTTTGATAGGTGATCATAAAACTGGGGAGGGGATCAAGAGATTCACTACCAAAAAGTAAAAAAGATTTGTGGATTTATGATTCAAAATAATCATAAAAGAAGGAATAGTAATGCACATTTTAAACCCAGCACACAGGAGGCTGAAGCAGGACTTTGAGGTCCAGGCCATCATAAAGTATAGAGGAAGACATTACCAGAAAAAAAAAAAAAAAAAAAAAATTCCAGGATTCTTGGTCAAGGCCTGCTTGGGGATCAGAGGGTTCTGCTAGCAACACAAGGGTGCTCTCTTACCATTTTTGTGCATGGTGGCTTCTTGTGTGGCCACAGAGGGCAGCCCTTCCATCATGGAGGTCCACTGTTTGAAGCGAGACTCAGTGCCAGCTTCTTTGCCACCAACCATGCCATAGTCCATGCCACTAGATGTGAAGCCTGGAAATAGATCACGGTTATGTCTAGGTGTTTCCTGCATCAGAAACCAACAGTCCCAGGCAGAACCCAAGAATGGCTTTGTCACTTACAGGTTAATCAAAGTTTCTGTAGAAATAGATACTTGATTCAAAACTCTGATCTTGGGTTCTGCTTGATAAAAACTCTATTGTCTCTTGGTTAAGGTATGTTGTCACTGCCATCTAATTAAGTGCACCTTGGTGCCTACCCACACTCACTTTTTCACTGAGTAAACAAACATTTGTGTCAAATAGTTGGCTGAGATCAACCACTGTCCACTTAGGTGGAGGAGACCACATGTGACCAACATGGAAGAGCAGCAGTGATGGGGCCAATAATAAGGGTGTCTGGGGTAGGATGCTGCAGAGGGCCTCACAATCTAGGGCCCAGGAAACTCTAGTTAGTACAAGGCCTGACTCATTACAGTCAAGCAAGCCCGGGAATGTCAAGAAGCTCAATGGCACTACAATGTTTGCCTGCCTATGAGACACAGGGTGGCTGACAGTGACAGGGAATGGGAGCGATGAAACACACTGACAAAGAGCTTCACATATTGGGCTGGGTCTTTTTCAGAGAACTTTTTAAGTAAATGAGAGAGAGGAAAAAAAAATGTTTTGTGTTTTAGAAGGAAAATTGGCAGTTTAAGAATGGGATAGATGGAGGCTGGGGTAGAATTGGAAAGACTGCTCTGACACAGTATTTTCAGTGAGGAGCACATCAAGTCACAGGAGACTTTCTGACTTTTGAGACAGGGTCTCTCTGGAGCCCTAGCTGGCCTGGAACTCACTATGTAGACCAGGCTGGCCTTGAACTTGCAGAGATCTGCCTGCCTCTGCCTCCTGAGTGCTGGGATTAAAGGCGTGCGCCACCACACCCGGCTGGAGTCATTTTTATGAAAAAGATATTCTCAGTTCAGAGTGCCACAAATCCCAGGAAAGCCAAGTGTTAGGCTCTCCCTCCTCCAGAGAGCTAAAAGCCACACAGAACCTGAGAAACTTCCTAATGAAGTCTCATGGGGCCAGTCATCTGTTCTCCATCAAGTCATAATGTACAGTTTTCAAACTGACTCCCAAAAGATAAATTAAAGGCTTAAACAAACAAATTGGGCATGGGAAGGAATATACACAGGATGAGAATGAGCTAGTAAGAGCAGCGTGGGCACAGGAATCAGGGGTGGGGAGGTGGGTGATGTTTCACCATAGCCAGGTGACAAGGGTCTGGCCAAATGCCAGTCCCTTGCCCCCAGCAAAGAGGCACTGGGGCCACAGTCAGGCCAAACTCCAGCTGTTTCCACTTTACTCTTCTACTGCAAAGCCATGCCTTAGGATGGATCTTCCTCAAGTTCTACAGACCCAGATCCCAGAGGTCCAGGTCATGTTCTTCTCTGGGCTTATCCTAATGGCCTGGCTTAGTTTTATAAATGCATAAATCAAGGTGACATCTGATACTTTCTTGTCCTTCATCCAAAATGTCTACAAAGATCCCTGTTTCTCCACACATTTTTTTTTTTTTGGTCTTTTTGAGATAGGGTCTCCCTGTAGCCCCAGCTGTCCTGTAACTCACTATGTAGACCAGGCTGGCCTTGAACTCACAGAGATCCGCCTGCAAATGCCACCACACCCCGCTCTCCACACATTTTGCTTGGAGGGTGGGAGCAGTGATTAGAAATCCTTGGAAGCAGATAGAAATCTATTTCTTCTTTTTTTTTAATCTGAGAGGGTCTCACTATGTAGAGCTGGGATTAGAGAAGCCACCACACCCTGCAAAATACTTCAAATTAAATGAGTTTTAAAGAAAAGAATTAAAAAATTTTTAAAGATTTGTTTTATTTTAAATTATATGCATTTACCTGTGTGTGGGTATGTGTATTTGAGTGTGGGTGCCCTTGGAGGCCAAAAGAGGGTACCGAGTCCCCATATCTGAGTTATAGGTGGTTGTGAGCTGCCTGATACTGGTGTTGGGAATCCAAATCAGGTCCTCTGCAAGAGCAGCTAACTCTTAACTTCTGAGTTACCTCTCCAGCTCTGAAGACTTTAAAAAAACAAAACAAAACAAAAAAAAACAAAAAAAAACCTTACCCTATACATTAGAAACAAAATAAGGGAAGACATGGGCATTGGGAGGTATGAAGGCATTTTGTGACAGAAGCATTTATGATCTAAACTTGTTGCTCCTTGGGCAAATCACACTTCTACCTCTGAGTGGGAAAGGAGGACAAGGATGTTTCAACTGCAGGCTTCTGAAAGCAGAGTTCTCAGCACTGAGAAAGAGTCTGAAAAGCACCTAGGATTCTGGTGAAGATTACAAAGGTCACAGGATTGATTAAGACAACAAGGAGGCCTTCCTCATTCACTAATTTTCTTTGAAGTTACTCTAAAATGTTTTAAAAATTTACAGGAAACCAATGTTATTTAACTTCATCTACTGAAGAGCTTTTCTGTGACACATAAAACGTAGAAAATGAAGAATTGTAAATCTCAGAAGAGGGAAGAGTTGAGTGGATCCAGCTGATTAGACAGGGCAATATGTTTCATTGGAAATTTGGGGACCAAGTGCCCTCACATTGTGTTACCACAATGACATCATAGATTAGTGAGAGGAGGAGAAAAAACTGGCTTGGAAAGTTCATCTATAACTCATATAGGAAGAAACTGAGTGCAAAGATGTATGCTGGAGACTGGGGATGCAGCCTGGGAGCACAGCCTTGCCTGGCCTGCACAAGACCCCGCTTAACTCCAGTAACGCACGCACGCACGCACCAGACGTTTCTTGATGTCACATGGTAACTGGTACAGCACTAGGATGGGGGGATGTGCCATAGTGGCTACACTGAGGTGTATTTCACGTGTCATGTGACCTTGAGCAATTTATGAACTCATACTTCTAACCCAGGAAAATGCTGATTTTATTATCCTTGCCATTTCATCAAAACCAAACTTCCTCAGTCTACCAAATGGTTTCCTTGTAATTCCCTGAATACAGAGCCTTAGTCCCAAACAAGTCACTGAGTTCAGTTTAATGAATAGTTATCAACAGCCTAATTTAAGCCAGGCTGTATATTAGAAACCAGGGTATACACAGAGAAAAGACAAGGCCCATTCCTTGCCTGTAGACTCACTTCACCATAATATGCTGTTTACTGCTTATCATTCTTGCAAATACACCTTTTGCTTACACTATCCATCCCTGCCAGAATCATTACCCCTGCCTCTGTATGCACTAATTCATTCCTATATTTGGCTTTCACCCTTGAAGACACCCTCTCAAATTGATTTCTTAAACTAATCATGTCATCATTTCCCTTATCTATAGTTTCACTGTTCAGCTTACTGTAGAGTAGAAGGTGGCAGAGTATCTAATTGGCATGTGTGAAGTCTTAGGTTCAGTCACCAACACCAAAAAGAAAAAAGCAATGCCTACCCTATTGCAACTGTGCCATGTCTACATGAATACCAGGTATCTGACACAATCATCTTGCTATAGACAGATTCTCTCTGCTTTCATTTAAAAATTTTTAATGACTAATTTAGTGTGTGCGTGGTGGTCAGAGGACAACTCACTGGAGCCAATTCTCTCTTGCTACCTCATGGGTCCCAGGGACCAAACTCTGGCTGTCAGACTTCGGGGCAGAGGCCTCTATCTACAGAGACATTTTAGTGTCCTACTTTAAAATAAAAAAAAAAAAGCCGGGCATGGTGGTGCATGCCTTTAATCCCAGCACTTGGGAGGCAGAGGCAGGCAGATCTTTGTGAGTTCGAGGCCAGCCTGGTCTACATAGTGAGTTCCAGGACAGCTGGGGCTACAAGGAGACCCTGTCTCAAAAAAAAAAAAAAAAAATTGATGTATATGAATGTTTTGCCTACATATAAGTAAGTGCAACCATGTTGTACAATGCCCTTGGAGGTCAGAAGAGGGCATCTGATCTCCTGTAACTGGAGTTAGGCATGGGTGTTAGCTGCTGTGTGGGTGTTGGGAACTGAACCTGGGTCCTCTGCAAGAGCAGCCAGTGCTAGTAATCACTGAGCATCTCTGCAGCTCCCTGTTTTCATTTTTATAATCTATATTATACATAAGTCTATGCTTTGCTGGGTGCACCACAAAAATATAAAGTCTGATAAATTTGAAGCACAAGAAAGAATATTTTGTTGGAAATCCTGTATGTGTATGCAATGTTCTGAGGCAGGGTCTTGCTGCATAGCCTTGGTTGACCTGGTACTCACTAGATTTCCAGTCTGGCTTCAAAACTCTAGTGATAGGATTAGAGGCATGAACTACCATGTCCAGTGAAAATACATTTTCTAATAAAATGAGTGACTTTGTTTCCTGGGCATATATAACTTATCAGTAGATTGAGACAGAGTATATACTATTCTTTTTCAAAATCATCTAAGTAGATGGGAACAGAGTCTTGTCAGAGTATCAATTAATTCTCCTGATCTCTTTTCAGGTCTAGGTTCTTCCCTCTGGCCCATGATATGGAAACACAATTTACAGAAAATCACCTGAAAATCTAATTAGATGTACTTTTAATTTTTCTAAAAGCAGAGAATTAGAAACCATATATTAAAAAAAAAAAAATCTGGGGGCTGGAGAGATGGCTCAGTGGTTAAAAACACTGGTTGTTCTTATAGAAGACCTGGGCTCAAATCCTAGCACCCACATGGTAGCTAACAACTGTCCGTAACTCTAGTCCCAGGGGATCCGATGGCCTCTTCTGTCCTCCGCAGGCATTGCACAACACGGGTGCATTTACCTAAATGCAGGCAATACACACATACACATAAAGTTAAAAAAGAAAAAGAAAAATCTGCCAGGTGTGGTGGCACATGCTTTTAATCCCAGCACTGGGGAGGCAGAGGCAGGTGGATCTCTGTGAGTTCAAGGCCAGCCTGGTCTACCTAGTGAGTTCCAGGACAGCTGGGGTTACAGGGAGACCCCATCTCAAAAAGACCAAAGAGAGGGTAGAAATCAGTGAGGATTAGTTAGGCAGTGCCATTCATTCATTCATTCATTCATTCATTCAGTGGTTTGGGCACCTGCATGCCATGATGAACATGTGGAGGTCAGAGGGTCAGAGGATACTCTGCAGATGTGGGTCCTCTCCTACCATGTAGGCCACATGGCACATGGGTATCAAACTTAGGTTGTTAGGCTTGGCAAGTGCTTTTACTCACTGGGCCATTTCATCAGCTCTTTTTTTTGAGACAGGATCTCAAGTAGTCTGGGCTAGTCTTGAGCTCCTAATCCCCTTGCCTCTACCTCTACCTCCCATGTTAAGATTACAGGTGTTAGTTTGTCATTCTATGCTGAGATTACAGGTGTTGGCTTGTCATACTATAGTTGGCTTGTCATTCAACTTCTCAATTATGAGAAAAAAATAGAAGAGGCTTATTAAGAAAGATAATATAGGGCTGGAGAGATGGTTTAGTGGTTAAGAGCTCTTCCATAGGACCCAAGCTTGAGTCTCAGGTGGCTTGTAACCTCCTGTGACTTCAGCTTAGGGCCAGAAAGGTTGAGCCTGTGTACTGGGTAATGCACTGAAACTTGAGAGCCTCAGACATCACAATCTTATCTGTAAAACAGTGTTAAGAATTTCAGTCACCCAGTCTACCTACTGCAAATAATGGAGGATAATGCAGATCCAACCCCTACTATAAGCTTAGACAAAACAGATTTTATATGAAATTCTTTCCACCATGCATAACATACCAGAACCATATCCAGGGATTGGCCCTTTGGTCTGAAGGTCTGGGAGACCCACATTCAATGTGTTGGGTACCATGTTGTCCAAATGTGGCTTAGGCCCAACAGGATGAGATGGTGAGTGCTTCATGCTAGGTTGTCGCTGCTGCTGCTGTTGCTGTTGCTGCTGCTGCTGCTGCTGTTGGAGAGCACTCACCATTCGGGCCAGCTGAGGATACAGCATCCGGATCAAGGAGGAGCACAAGGGAAATGGACAAATGATAAGCCAGTGTCCCAAATTCCATTAGTTGTTACATCAAAAGGTGCTCCTCACCCAGAGTACCTGGATGAGGTACTCTTCCACCCATATACCTGCTGTTCTTGCTGCTGGCGCACTGCTTGAGAAATCTTTCTCTGGTTTTGTAGCAACTGCTGCTGCTGCTGCTGCTGCAGGAGAAGCTGACATGCCTACAAATCAAGCAGGAGGGCACCAAAGCTTTCTAAAATGGACTTCCTGAGGACACAGGGACTTTGTGCACTGTAGTACAGGTCACTGAGTCAAAACCATCCATGACCAAGTTCCTAGTCTCCTGGTTTAAGTTTACCACCAGTTGAGCTGATCAACTTTTAATCATAATCTATCATCTACATAAAAGTTTGAACTAATAACCCTCAAATATAAAATGGCAAAGAGAAGCAAAGTAAAACTAAAGGAAAAGGAAAGCAAGTAATTGTTTTAGCTACAAGAGGAAAACATGCTACTTACCAACTGAAATTGAGGAATCTGTGGAAGCTGGCTCAGCATGGCGATTTGTTGAGGAGATAACTGGGGCCCCACATTGAAAAGACCTGGATTCAGGCCACTGTTGGGAAACTGCTTGAGCATTGAGGCAGAAACCTAGCGGGAAAACAAAGGTGTGGGAAGGAAATCCTTAGAATTCATCAAAATAAAACTTTCCTCCTCACCCTTGTGAAAAGACTCTTGATGGTTCTAAAGCAAGCGCTGTCATTTTCTTCTTGAGAAATATTTGTGAGAACTATACTGAAGTGTTAACAATGTATTATCTCTGAGCTCTAGGAGTCTAAGTGCTTTTTAATTTTCTTCTAAGGCTTCCTGCAATAAAAATTTCCTGCAATAAAAATGATGAAAATTTAAATCAGGAAAACATCTTCCCCCCCGCCCCAAAATGAGATTGACAATATGGCTTCTGTCTAATTGAGAAATTATTGAAAACATGCCATACAACAAAATATGCTAAATTACACAGAGCTAATAAATACATGCTTACCAGAAAGCACTTCTGTTCTAAAAATAAAGAATATATTAACTTATAAAGAAGAGACACTGGAGTTTCATCTCATGACTTATGACCCCGAGTACCAAGTCCCAGTGAGCCCAAGGAAAAAGCCTGGAACTGACCAGCCATGTTGCTGCTTCTCAGACCATGCTGCTGACAGCTCTGGTGACAGAAAAAGGATTCCCTCTGGACTGTTGGCTGTTTTCAGTGAGCTCACATCCATTTCCCTGTACTTTTTTTTTTTTTTGGTCTTTTTGAGACAGGGTCTCCCTGTAGCCCCAGCTGTCCTGGAACTCACTATGTAGACCAGGCTGGCCTTGAACTGAGATCCGCCTCTCTCTGCCTCCCGAGTCCTGGGATGCCCGGCTTTCCCTGTACTTTTATGCACAGAACCTACTTGTTGGTCAGCTGGGCCACAGAGAACACTCCTAACATCCCTCCTATATGGTACATGGACAGAGGGGTCAGTCAAGAGCTTACTGTAGGATGGAGAAATGGCTCAGTAGTTAAAAGTGTGTACTGTTCTCATAGCGAGTTCCAGGCCAGCTGGAGCTAGAGGGAGACCCTTTCTCAAAAAGACCAAAAAAAAAAAAAAAAAAAAAAAAAAAGAGAGAGAGAGAGAGAGAGAAACACTATCTACCATCTCACCTTCAGGCTAACAAACCAACTTCTTTCTCTGTTTCTCAGTGTGGAACCCAGAACAGAAAGCCATTTTCTAGGTTAACTCTAACACCAAGCTAGACTTGGCCAGGCATGGTGGCACAAGCTTTAATCTCAGCATTAGGGAGGCAGAAGCAGGTGGGTTTCAGTGAGTTTCAGGTCAGCCTGGTCTACATACTGAGGGCTATATAATGAGAGGTGTTTTCTCACTCTCTCTTTCTCTTAAACACACACACACACACACACACAGAGAGAGAGAGAGAGAGAGAGAGAGAGAGAGAGAGAGAGAGAGAGAGAGCGCTAGACTTTCTCTAACAATGCCCAAGATCTCAGTTTCTCTGGTAATCACATTCTAATTCCCTATTCCAAGAGTAATCTAAGTATCAATTAAAACCAACAATACTTCTGTTTGGCTTCCTCATGTCATATTTATTTTTTCAGTGAGAGGGAACAAATCCAGGGCCTCACAAATGATAGGAAACACTATTACTGAACTATAACCCTAGCTCCTCCCCTCAATGTGATATTTAACTCATGCATATGGGGCTCTAGATTTCATTAATTACATTTATCTTTATGTAGATGACACAAAGTAATGAACCCTTGTTATATTTTAACTTAAGAGTCAGCTACCAAGTTCTTTTCTAATCCTTTTATTCTACTTATTCTCACTCTGTGAAGATCATCTAGTAGAATGCTACTAAAAAAACTTGTTTTTCAAATTTGAAACTCATCAGCCTGAGAATAGCCCATTATTTACTAACCCACATTTAGCTTATATATTTTTCCATCTTGCTCCAAACAAAGAGATAGCATGTCAAACAGCCTGATAAAGTGGAGGAACTGCAGCAATGTCATTCTTCTAGTCCAGTATCTACCTGCCAATGTTTAAAACCTGGTAGCAAACTATGATGCCAAACAATGTTAACAGAGCTCACAATCTTCTTGAAAATCTAATTTAGACTCTTGCCTAGAACTGGCCCCAAGCTCATTAAGCCACTTTCCTTGCTTCTCCTTTTGGAAATTACTGAACTTTATCTTCCTTGCTTCATTATAGGGGAGAGAGAGGTTCTTTCAAACTAAGGTTCCGTAAGCCTGTAGAGAGGGCTGCCCCTTTTGGCTTCCAGGAGTAAAGTGTGAACCTCAGAAGCTTCAGTATCCACTTCAGCGATAGTAAAGGGGTATTTTCAACCAGATATGATTTCCTTTTTTGCCTTAAAACTTCAGATTTCATCAGGAAAGAAGGGATGTTATTACTAAACTCCCCTTAAAGGCACCCAACATTCCTCAGACATTGCAGACAGGGCTCCGCAATTCTGTTCATAAATTCCATGTTGTGAAATTTAATTGTCCTAAGCCCTTTAGTTTAGTATTTTGGTTGACCTCCTAGCCCCCTCACCAACCACCATGTTAAGGATCAAACAACAGGACCTTGCAGATGTTAGGCAAACTCTGAGCTATACCTTTAGCCCCGTATATACTTAAGACAAAAGCAATAAAAACACTACTCCTACTTTGTAATGAGTGGTTACTAAACAATTAGTTTGGAAAAATTCTTTCCCAGTCACCAAACTCTAAAGGTTCTTCTAATATCTGCTTACTTTTTTACTTTTTTTTTTTTTTTCCATCTTTTTGAGATAGGGTCTCCCTGTAACCACAGCTGGCCTGGAACTCACTATGTAGACCAAGCTGGCATAGAAGTCACAAAGACCCACCTGCCTCTGTCTCCCAAGTGCTGGGATTAAAGGTGTGCACCACCACACCCAGCTTTATTTGTGTAAACTTCAGCTTTATTTGGAGTTCTAACCTCAGAACACCCCTCCCTAAGCCCCTCTTCCATTCTATATAAATGCATTGCTTTACTTTTACTTTCCATCTTCTAAAAATGACCTCTTTCCAAACTGGGTTTCTCAAAAAGCTTTTCCATTGACTATTCTAGTCTTACCTTTCTTTAGTGCCCTGGTCAAAATCAAATGCTCAGGTTCCCATTAATTTGAGTCTGCATTTCTGCTACATCCTCGGGAATTTATGCTGATCTTTTCTTTGACTCTTTCTAGTCTCTTGTATTTGGCCATCAACTCATTTTATTCCACAATCTCAGACATGTCCACTTACCCAAACAATTCTATCACTCTGGAAAGCATTCTCATCAAGAATACCATTAGCTCAGTTCTCCCAGTAAGGTTGGCTGTTTCCTATAAGAGACACTGAGGGTGCTGAGTATTACCAGTCAGCTTAAAAACTTGCTTGACCTCCCACTGTAACTACTGAATTCAACTACTAAATTCAGAGCACAGCATGAACATACCATGAGTAGGTATTTGGCTCCCTCTCAATTTTATGACAAGCATGTGGAACACCTGCTACAATTTTCCTATATACTTACTTTATGATTTCATTTACACGAGGTCAAAATAGGCAAAATGTAACAATACAATGTTTAAAGATAGATATAGAGAAACTAAAGAAAAGCACATGCATGCCAACACAAGGCATTTTTATATTTACATTGGCCAGGCCACTGTACATCCTCTACAAATTGACAGTTTCAGACTTAAAAGAGTTACACTTAGGTCTTCCTATCTACCCTTGCTCAACTTTCAAGTTCTGCAAGTTGCAAATACTGTGTCTTCCTCCAAAGACCTGCTCCTGGCAAATGGTTGTATATGTGTATTGCTTGAGTTAGGTAAGTTCACCCATGTCGTGAATGCCCGTGGAGGACAGAAGAGGTTGTCGGATACCTGGAACTGGAATTATGGACAGTTGTTAGCTGTCATGTGGGTGCTGGGATTCAAACCCTGGTCTTCTGCAAGAACAACCAGTGTTCTTAACCGCTAAGCCATCTCTCCAATCCAAGAGTACTGGTACTTCTTATAGAAGACCCAGGTTTGAATCCCAGCACCAACATGGTGGCTAACAACCATCTGCAACTCCAGTTCCAGGGGATCTGACGCCCTCTTCCGTCCTCTGTGGGCACTGTATGACATGGGTGCACTCATACACATGCGGGCATAACACTCATACAAAAAAAAAATGTTCATGTACTTTGACCCAAGTAAGTTTTCAGAAATAATGTGGGCCCATGCCTGTGATCCCAGCACTGGGGACATGGAGGCAGGAGGAGCATGAATTCAAGGCCAGGCTGTGCTACATAGTCAGGTCTTGGGTCCATTAATGAAAAAAACATAGAAACTAATGTGAGCAAAGACTTTTTGCTTGTTTGTTTTGAGAAGGATCTCCCTGTGGCCTCTGCCTCTGCCTTTTTTTGTGGGCAAAGATTTTTGTTTAAGGATTTCTCTTCATCATTACTTATAATAGTAAAAATATAGAAACAATTTAATATCTAATAAAGGGGGAAGACACTGTTAAGCAAATGTACCTAATGAAACAGTAAGAATGATAAACATGAGCTAGGGTTTAGCTCAGTCATACTGTATTTATCCAGCATGTTAGAGGCCCTGAGTTTTCCCAGAATGGAGAGGAGGAGAGAGGGACAGAAGGGGGGTGGGGGGAATCAACATGAAGACTAAGGGTACTGGGAAAACACTAGAGACAATGTTAATCACAAGGACAGGCTCCAGTGACCCACAATGAGGGCAGTATGGGAACAGCCTACTGCATGTGTGCAGAGTCAACAGGAAGCAACACAATCCCTGTCAGCATGTGTGGGCTAAAACTTTCTAGAACAATGTGGGTTTTTTTTTTTCTTTTCTTTTTATTCTTTCCTTCTACTATCCGAGCTTTTAGTGGGGTTCTCAGTTTTTTTTTTTTTAAACTATTATTATTTTTTAAAGAGTGACTTGTTTTTCAAAGTACAGAAATACCAAAGTACAGAATTAGTTAACATTCTGTTCCCAGTAAAGCATTAAACCAATGTTAAATGTTTTCCTAAAGAAACAAGTTTCTCTTGTTGCTGTTTTTTGTTTGTTTTTTTTGAGAAAGGGTCTCACTGTAGTGTCATGTGACCTAGAACTTGCTATGTGGTAGGCCAGGCTGGTCACGATCTCACAAAGATCCACCTCTCTCTGCCTCCCAAGTGATGGGAATTAAAGGCATGCGCCACCATGCCTAGCAAGTTTTTTTTTTTGTTGTTGTTGTTTTTTAATGTTTTTGAGACAAGGGTCTCCTTGTAGCCCTAGCTGGCCTGGAACTCGCTATGTAGACCAGGTTAGCCTCAAGATCTGCCTGCCTCTGGCTCCTGAGTGCGCCACCATGCCTGGCCTGCCTAGCAAGTCTGAAATTTTATGTGAGCATTAGTACTTTCTATTCCCAAGTACTTTGGTCACAGAGGAGAGGTCTGCAGTACCAGGTTTTAAAGCTGTCGTCTGCTGTTCTAACAATTCCATCTTGAAAATATTCTTTTATCAAGTCCTAGTTGGCCTTAAACTCACTATGCAGCTAAGGCTTAAAACTCTTGATCTTCTTGCTTCTATCTCCAAAGTGCTGGGATGTATGCTACCAGGACTGGCTCACTTTTGGAAATACTCTGGTATGTATTATCCCATGATTTGACTTGTTTACTGAGTTCAAAATACATGTAAAACAGGGATTTTTGCCATAAGCAGCACACAAAGGGCAACTCAACTATGAGTGGGGAATTGACACCAAAATACTTGCAGTGTACAGCTGGAAATTTCAGGCTGTAGCTGTGAACAAAGCAGTCCTGTCCCTGCCACTATGAAGCTGATATTCCTGTGGCAGAGTTGGGGAAAGATAAGGAACAGAGGAAAACTCTGGAGTAAAGGAGCAAGGTGTGGAGAGGTACTGTATGGCACAGAGGTTGGCCTGTGAAAACTTCTCCGAGAAGGTGGTATTAAGTAGAGATCCAAGAAGTAAAGATGGAGCTGACTGTCAATCTGAGATAAGTGTGTCCTAGGAGTACGACTGGTGTTTTGGAGCCAGCTGAGTGGAGAGGCCTATATAGAGAGCAGTAGGTACAGATAGACGGAGGTCACCAAAACCCTTATAGATGGTGGTGAGAGAGCAAGAGAGCAAGCCAGGAGAGGACTTGCAGCAAGGAATGGCATGATGTACAGATACTAACTAGGTGTAGCTCTTAAATTTAATTAAAATGAAGTAACAGAAGTAACAGTCGCACTTTAAGTGACTACCTGGCTAACAGCTTTCAGAGTGAACAGTGTGGCTACAGAGGACCAATGTGACTCAGATGTAGACATCAAGAACTGAATGAGGCCAGGATGCGGAGGGGAAGACACGGACAGGAGGGCCCTACAGTCACTATCTATAGTGATGACCTGGCCAGGGACTGCATTAGTGGAGGTGATAAATGGTCAGAGCCTGGATCTGGATCAAGATTTATTTGTATATATACATATGTGTGTGTGTGTGTGAGAGAGAGAGAGAGAGAGAGAGAGAGAGACTGAGATTGTGCTCATGTAAAGGCCTCAAGGTGGGGGCGGGGGGAGACTGAGAGACTGTGCTCATGTACAGGCCTCAAGAGGGCATTAGACCCCTTGGAGCTGGAGTTGCAGGCTGGAGTCTGCAGGATATCCAGCTTGCCATGTGGGTGCTAGCATCTGAGCTCTGGTCTTCATGGGTATGCAACAAGTGCTCCTAACTGTTGAGCCATCTCTCCAGTCCTGGATCAAGTGTATTTTTTTTTTTTTAATATTTATTTTTATTTTATGTGTATGAGTGTATTGCCTGCATGTATGTAAGTGCACCTGTGTCATGCAATGCCTTTGGAGGTCAGAAGGCGTCAGATTCCCTTGGAACTGCAGTTACAGTTACAGATGGTTGTTTGCTACTATGTAGGTGCTGGGAACTGAACCCAGTTCCTCTGTAAGAGCAGTTAGTGCTCTTAACCGCTAAGCCATCTCTCCAGCCCTGTGTATGTAGTTTTTTAAAATTTATTTTAACTTTATGTACATAAGTGCTTTGCCTAGATGTATGTAAGATGTATGTACCGTATGTGTGCAGTGCCCACAGAGGACGTTGAATCCTCTGGAACTGGAGTTATGGGTGGTTGTTAGCAGCCTTGTGGGCTCTTTGAACCAAACTCAGGTCCTCTGAAAGAGCAACCAGTGCTATTAACCACTGAGCCATAACTCCAGTTCTCAGGATCAAGTTTTGAAGGGAAAATTTATTGGTCAACTGAATGTGGACTATCAGGGGTGAGTGTTTCAGGATTAGCTCCTGGGTCTTTGGTATGAACAACTATAGAATGAGAGGCCATCTAGCTAAAGAGAGGGGTTTTTTTTTCCTGGACATATCTAGCTGTTTGTGGAGCTAAAAAAATGTGAACTACAGACAAAATTTTGGAACTTAAGTATTTAAAATCATTTTTTTAACACCTAAAATATGTTTTAATGTAACACTGAATATTAAAACATTATGCAATACAATGTATATGGACTGAAAAGAAGTGAATACAAGTGCATATTCTCCAATTTTCTAACAGTTTAAGAATATATCACAGCATTAATAATGTGGCTGTTGTCTACTGAGAAGCCTTAGCGGTGAGAAGGCGATGAGGTCACCACCGAAGGAGAAATTTCTGGCATGAACTTGATGTCTGCTTTCCACCTGAGGGCAGGGATTAGGGTGGCTCTGTCCTGGTGAATCAAGAAGGTAGCATTCAGTAGTGAGACTTAGTGAGATCACCTAGTTGTGGCTGTATATCTTGAGAAGTTTGAGAACTGAGCACATTCTGATGATAAATGTTGGGAAAGAGGAGGTGGTAAAAGACAGGCAGACAGAGAACCAATAAGGCTCTTGAAAGTCAAATGATGTAATGTTTTAGAAGGAGGAACGGATTAGCCACAGAAAGTACTTCTGGCACATTAAGAGACCGGAAATAGGACCATGGTATCCAGTGACACAAAGATGAAAGGTGACCTTCCCACAAGGGTCTGAACTCCACTGTCACTGCTTTACTTCTGCTCCTGTGCCAGCCTTGCCCTGTTCTGGTAATTCTACGGCCCAAACATGTCCTTATCTTACTCCCAGTGTTATCTTTCATGTCATACACCTTCCCATATTATTACTTGGCAGAAAAACCTTGCTAAACACTTCATTATTGATAGCAGTAGTCAAAATTTAGGGTGTACCAAAAAAAACCTCCCAGTGGTGAGCACGCCCTGAATCCCAAGAATTCTGTCTCAATAGAGTCGCAGAAACCTTTGAGTAGCAGTCTAAATCATGGTTTGAAACAGGCTGACAAGGGCTGGCTTACAGGATAAGACCCAAATTCCTAAGCAAAGGAAACAGTTTTGCCACATTTTGTCCCTAACTCCCTGTACAGTTTCTTCCTATTCCACTCTAGAATGCATGTATTTCTATTCAGATGCTTTCAACCAGCTCACACTAATCGTTCAAACAAACTGACTTTCTTTAACATGCCATGTTCTACCTATTATTGCCCTGGCACATGGAACTCCTGGGGCTTGGAAGGCTTTTTATTTTTTCCTCCAAAAAATTTTTTTTTGGCTCTTCTTTAATATTTTACTTTTAATTATTTTTATTTTATGTGCATGAGTGTATTGCCTGCATGTAAGTGAGTGCCCCTGTGTCATACAATGCCATGAAGGTCAGAAAAGGGTTTCAGATTCCCCTGGAAGTGGAGTTAAGGATGGTTCGTAGCCAACATGTGGATGCTGGGAATTGAACCTGAGTCCTCTGCAAGAGCAGTCAGTGCTCTTAACCACTGAGCCATCTCTCCAGCCCCTGGAAGGCCTCTTTAATATGGCTGTGCCCAGGAACTTGAACTCATTCTTCAAGATCCAGTTCAAATGTCACTGTGACATTTAGTTGGATTACCCAGTCCCCAAACTCTGCTGAACAGCTATATGACATTTATCATACTATTTGCTGCTTATGAAGAGTCTATGTCAGACTGGCACAAATCTCTCACCTCTATCTTTACCACACCAATCAAATTACACATCTATGAAAATTTGATCTAGAGGGCTCCATGTATCTAAAGGGCTCCGTCCTAGACAAAGCTACTCCGGAGGCAATGTCTCTTCATCAGTTCTAGGACTGTCTAGAGCAACAAGTCAATATTTTAGTATATGGCTCCTCAGAGTTATTCAGAAAAACCCAGACACTGGAGATTCTGTTTATCTGCAGGTGAATCCACCAGGGTAATCAGCTTCTGAATGCTGTCAAACTTATTATTTTTTTTTTATTTTTGGTCTTTTTGAGACAGGGTCTCCCTGTAGCCCCAGTTGGCCTGGAACTCACTATGTAGACCAGGCTGGCCTTGAACTCACCGAGATCCGCTTGCCTCTGCCTCCTAAGTGCTAGGATTAAAGGCGTGTGCACCAAGCTTGGCCAAACTTATTTTTTTTAAAGATTTTAAAAATTATTTTTATTTTGTTTATGAGTGTCATGTATGTAAGTGCACCACCTATGTATGTGCCCGGTGTCCAGAGGTCAGAAGAAGGCATCAGATCCCCTGGAACTGGAGTAACAGATGGGTGTTAGCTACCATGTGGGTGCTGGGAATTGAACCTGGGTTGTGGGCAAGAACAGTACTTCTCCAGCATCATATAAACTGGTTTTAATTAAGAGCAATAAAAAAAAAAATCAACATAGTGTTAAAAATTAGGATATCTAAAAGGAATGCCATTGTAATACTTCCACGCAAGCATCTACTCTGTATGCATGACACTACCTGATTTTGAACTATAGAAGTATAACATTTCTTACCTGGGGGGAGATAAACTGGGGAGGCACTTGTGCCCGGAGACCAGGAGAAGAACTCAGCGGCTGCACTGGAGTGTGCAGGCCTCTCGATTGTGCTGTGCTGTTTCCAAACAAACCGTGATTGCTGCCCTGCAGATGTAACAGTACCAGTAAGGCTTTTTTTGTTGTTAATGCAACAAAACACAAGGAGCAGCAGTTCTGGTTTCTATCCCTAAGAAGAATCAAGACCTACATTCCATGGAATGAGAGCATTCATTTTGCTTTCTCTTTTTGGTCTTTTTGAGGCAGGGTCTCACTGTAGGCCCAGCTGTCCTAGATTCACTATGGAGAACAGGCTGGCTTTGAACTCACAGAGATCCACCTGCCTCTGCCTCCCGAGTGCTGGGATTAAAGGCTCTCTCTGTCTCTTTTAAGACAAGGTCTCACTCTGTAGCCAGTCTGGCCTCAAACCTATGGTTAACCTCCAAAGTTTTGAGGTAACAGGTGTGTGCTACCACATCTGGCTTAAGAACTCTTTTTTAAAAGGCGGGGTTTATCAAATTTAATTCTCAAATTTTACAATCTGAGACCCATCTTAATCAATCGCATATATCCATGAGGACCTTACTTCAGCTCTGAACACCCTTCCCTGTCCTGGATCTGTTTGGCTTTTTCTTTACTATATGAGAAAATACTAATCAATCTCACATTGAGATAAGAAAAGGAACTGTTACAAATAATTCCAGGGATATGAAAACAAACATTACTCACCTGTAATTTCCCATTCAAAAGTAAAAATATAAGCCTAGTTAAAGATAAGCTAAACTCCATGATTCTTGAAGAACCACCTCACCGAGCCCTCATCTCTGCTCTTCCAATGACACCAAAAGAAAGCTAGGCTCCACTGTGGCCTGCCTTTCTCATTGTTTCTACCCAAGTTCTTCAGCAAAGAAACTTTCATTACCTGACACCACTGTTTCCTCTGTCTGAGTCCATCCCTGCTCCCCCTTACAATTTCTCCCTATATAGCTAGGGTTGGCCTTGAACTCTTGATCTTCCTGGGTACTGAGGTTGGAGGCATGGTGTCATGCATCACATCTGTCTCCTGGTTCTTTTCACTTGGCCTCTTCAAGGCCTGGATCAAAGATCATCCGATCAAGGACATCTTCCCCAATGCCTTCTTCTACATGTAATGTAACTTAATTCCCTTCTGTGTTATCAAAACACAGACTCTTTGATGACATCCATTTAAACTGTGTAATAGTTATTTTCTGTCTTTTTTTTTTTTTTTGGTTTTTTTGAGACAGGGTCTCCCTGTAGCCTCAGCTGGCCTGGAACTCACTATGTAGACCAGGCTGGTCTCAAACTCAGAGATCCACCCGTCTCTGCCTCCCAAGTGCTGGGATTAAAAGCGTGCACCACCATGCCCGGCTCCTTAATTTCTTTTTTATTACATTTGTTTATTTTTGTGTACATGTATGTGTCTGGGATTAAAGGCGTGTGCCACCATGCCGGGCTATTTTCTGTCTTTTTAAGGATTAAGCACTAGCTAAATTCCTTCTTTCCATTCCTAGAACTCAATAAAGCCCTGGACTATAGGATGAACACATTATTTGCAAATATCCATGACCCATCAACCATACATTTAAAAACGTGATACTGTGATGACTTTAATGATTAAAAAAATAGACAAGGAACTGCTAAAGGCAAATTAATGAACTTAAAAGCACTAAAAAAAATAACTACAAAAATAAAGTAGAAATGGCAATTAAAATCTGTGTGTATCATAAAAGAAATTAAAGATCTACCATGAATTTTCTTAGCCCGAGGGCTGTTTAAACTCACACCCAGCTTACAGACATTTTGCATTTCAACCTTTCCTTCACTTTCCTATTCTCAGTAGATAGGACTCCTCCTTTCTGCCAAAGTTGAAGGATCTTTAAAGCCACCCTTGGCATTTTGATGTTTCTGAAGTGGGTAACAGTACAAGCAAGTCATTAGTTGCCTGTAAAAATGCCTTCCTTCTATCTTAACATGGCACCTGAGCATCACCAGCTGCTTATTTTCTTGGCATAAATTTGTTGTTTTTCAGTGGGGACAGTCATACATATGTGGCCTTTAAAATTTTTTTGGAATTAAGGAAATGGTAATTCAAAGATACACTAATGGTGGGTTATCTGCCTGTTGTTCAAACTTTATTCTTGTTTGTGAAGCTTCTAAGATGATCTGAGTCTTCATAATTATTGGTGATATATGCCTCAACTCCAAGGTTTAATTTAGAAAGTATATAAATTTAAAATACCAGCAGCAAGGTGACTGAAAGTTTCTGTGGTTTGGAAAATAAACCGATTTTAAAATTAGTATTATATTTTGAAACAGCATCTCATATTGTTGCCTAAGTTGGCTTCAAACTCCCACCGTCTAGTCCTCTTGTCTCACTCAGCCTCTTTAAGTGTTGGGATTAAACATGTGTGCTACTATGCCTGGCTTAAATTATATCTTTTAATTATGAAGTAAATTTAATGAGCTCTGTATGACATTAGCTTGAAAAAAATTATACCCATATTTGGGCAGGGTATGTGTGCTAATCTGATAACAATGAACTTTGAAGCAATCTACAGATCACAAAAATAAAGAGGAATCACCTTTTCTCATAGTCCAGGGACAAGCTGGTTTGGTTGCTCTATTAAACTTGAGTTTACCTACTAATAGCATTAGGTAATTATGCATTCCTGGAATCCACTAAGCTGGGTGCGTGAGTTTAAACAATTCTTGGAATATGAAATTCATATATTACAGTTATCACTGATCAAGAGTGATATGACTATTTTATATTTTCTATACATCAGAGTTTAAATTAAGGATCATTGCTGGGCGTGGTGGCACATGCTTTCAATCCCAGCACTTGGGAGGCAGAGGCATGGGGATCTCTGAGTTCAAGGCCAACCTGTTCTACACAGTGAGTTCCAGGCCGGCTGGGGCTACAGGGAGACCCTGTCTCAAAATGACCAAAAGAAAAAAGTAAATGAATAAAATAAAGGTCCTCAAAATTTAATATAAATGTTCTTCCCTGTTCATGTACGCAGTACATATCCATGCCATTTAGGAAACATTACAAAAACATTGAAATATAAGGAAAGAAAACAGAAAAACTGCCTGTGATTCCCAATCCAGACATAACTATCTTGAATACATAAATACAACATACTCTACTTTAAATGTGCACATGAGAGGCTTATGTACAAGTTGACTATGGTGTAAGAGGTCCTGCTTTACCGCAGCTTTTAATGTACATGTGAACATCATCACATGAAACAGAATAGATTAAACTGATATCACACACTGTATATTTATTATCAATGTTCTTGGGGTTACCCTGAAGAGGGGACATAGTGGCAAATGAGTCACAGAACTATGGCTAGGGAAATACCACTTGCTAGAGTGGTTATCCTGGTTATCTCCATGAAAACTACAACATACTGTGGAGCCCAATTGTGTCCTGTGTGAATGAGGACCCATCATTATCTGACCAGCTTTGCCTGTTCTGATGCCATTGCATGGCTCTGGTTTGGAGGGCTGCCAGGCCTAACCCTGGCAATGGGTTGTCCCAGGTCTAATAAAACTGGCACGCCTGTTCAATTTCCACAGTAGGTATTGTAAAGAGCAATAGTCACTCTCATCAAAGCTCTGCTATCTATTAAACTTATCCTTCCCTAAGTAATTACTAAGGTTTAAATTCTAAAGGTGCTAAATTTTAAGAGGCTCTCACACCTTTTTTTGAGACAGGTTTTCCCTGTATCCCCAGCTGGCCTGGAACTTACTACGTAGACCAGGATGCCCTTGATCTCCCAAGGATCCACCTGCTGCTGCCTCCAGAGTACTAGGATTAAAGGTGTGTACCACTACACCACGCTCAACCTACAAATATTTAATCTTACTCGTTTTGCTGCTAATTTTTGCTTAGCAGGTATAGCAAATTGAAGAGACCCCCAGAATATTACTTATATAATCTAACAATGTTAGAAATGGCAAATATATTGCTAAATTAGATTATACAAGGTACTTAATAGTCTTAATATTTTCCTAATTCAGTTATAACAAAAAAAATGAAAAGACAAAAGAAATAGGTTTAAAATAAAACCCGTGTTGAGAAACATGAAGAGAGATGGGTTCTACTGGCAAAAAGATCTAAAACCTATACTTAGTATCATTCTGTGCATTCAGTAATCAACAAATTTCCCAAGACAGACAAATGATGCAATAAACTGAAGACCAGGGCCAAGGCGAGGCCACAGCCAAGCAATTACAAATCTGAGAGGCCTCCTTACTTGTCTAGCAGCGAAGTTTTGGGGGTTGAGCCCTGTGCCGATTGCTCCAAGGCTGACGTTGGGTAGTGTGGAACCAGAGGGAGACAGCTTGTAGCTGGGAGAAGGGGAGAAGGGAGAGCAGGGAGCCTCATCCCCAAGGCACCCATCTTGATTGGAGAAAGGCAAAGTCAGCTGAAAGGTAGTAGGAGTTAGCCAATCACAATGAGTGTTGGTTAGTGAAGCAACAGAATGCAAGAAGGGAAAGAGAGAGACACTAGGAATAAACAAAGTGATAGAGTATTAGCAATAATCAAGACTGGAATTTGGATCTGATAATCATCATCACACTTTACCCCACAGATACCACCTGTCATCCTCTTTGATAAGTTTTCTCTTCCTCTTAGTTTGGTGAATGGTTGCCTGACACTTTATTTTTAAACATTAATACGGATTACTCTGGTTGTGTGGTTCCCGAAACAGAAGCCAAGGCAATTTTCTTGTATGTTGCCACCTAGAATGGCAGCAATGTTATGGGCCCAGATCTACAAGTTCTGGAGCACTGCCAAATGGTATTCTCAATCAAGGAGTCATTCATTAGAAATGCCAAGGCTTAAAAACAGTAAGTGGAAATTATTTGCTTCAATTAGGTAGTGAGAATTTGAAGAATATATCCTTTAACTAGTCATAAACCACCTGGAAGCAGGAAAGATAAGGAGTTTTTTCAAAACTAGAAGGCAAGCTCTTAGGAGACCCAAGTATTTGTACAGAAGTAGACATTTAATCTGTTGCTGCATAGTAGCAGAAAAAAGAATTCAGAAGAAATTTACCTTTAAAATTTCTTCTCCATATTTTCAGTGCTCATTATCTTCCCCTAAACTTGGTATTTCAAAACTTAGCCTTTGTCACAATAAACACTAAAGACAGATGGCATCAGTTCCTGCCCAATCATCTGTTCACATCAGTTTATTTTCATGTCACTACTTTAATGCAAGTGATACTTATGTTCTGCTCATGGAGTTTAAGAAGTCTATGCTTCTTCCAAAACTAGTTAGCAATGACAATAAGAATTCCAGTGATTCTCATCAACTTTTATTTTAAGCAAAGGATTTAACTCACCTTCTCAAAATAAGGCCCACTGTCTGTGGTTCCCAAGTCTTTGGAATTAGGTGGACGGAACCCAGATCGATCCTTCCTCATGATATCATTAAAATCCCCGAGATTCATTGTTCGTTTGTCCACATCAAATTTCTTATCTGAAAGAACATAAAAGGAGTGAAAACTTCAAGAATCAATGTCTCCCTCAAGAGTCATAAGTGACCTGGTCCACCTGTTGTCTGGGGTGCTAGGTTATAAACTCTCTCTACTCTCGGGGATGAGACCAGGATAGTTCTCATAGGTACACAGTGCTAGTTCTGCTCCTAGAGCACATGTGGGTTCATTTAAAACACTACCGAACCGGAAAATGCTGTCGGTATCTACCACTGTAAGATTGAAAGACAGTCTACAAACCTGACTAGGAAAATACAGATGACTGTTGATGAGTTGGATGAATACATCTCTCTCATAAATTCAAATGTTCTCCATGAGAAAAGTTGCCTGTTTTGCTATTTTATCATCTGCTAGATAAATGGTTTTTTTGTTTTGTTTTTTTAAAGCAGTGACATAAATATCATCTGCATTAAAGTAGTCTCTTTTTTTGGCTTTTTGAGACAGGGTCTCCCTGTAGCCCCAGGCTGGCCTTGAACGCAAAGACATCCACCTGTCTCTACCTCCCAAGTGCTGGGATTAAAGACCTGTGCCACCACACCTGGCTCAAATAAATGGAGTTTTTGAGTACAGTTATGGGAAATAAAAAGATCAAAGAGGCACAGTTGTTGTCCTAAAATTTTAAGCTTAAGAACTCAGCACAGTGGATTATGTCTATAGTACTCGCTCAACCTACTCTTCCAGGTGCAATAATTCCTCCCACTTTCTTTTTCACAGCTCTAGAGAGTCCCAGGAAGCTTGTAGCTTAAACATTATATATTACTACTTCTACACAGGTCTGTTTTCTTTTTAGATTGATTCTTTTTTAAGTTTCTCAGGGTAAGCATCAATATTACTGAGAAAAATCCCAGAGAGGAAGGGTTGACACTTGCATCTGTAGGGTCACCATGAAAAGGATATCCTGGTGCAGACATGGTCAAAGGGCCAAGCCTAGCAGTACCATAGACATTCTAAAACAACCTTAATTTAGTTTCTAAACTCTAAAAATCAGGATGTTAATATAGACTTGAATATCTTGCCCCTCTTGAAATAACTGGAGGATACAGCCCAGTCAAGCCTTCACTTTTTAGAGCAACTACTGCCCAAAGGTAGAGCAAGGCTGGCTCCTTAGGCACCATGCCCTCTCCACAGTTAACCAGTGACTTCTGTCCCCTACTTTGTTTTTAAAAAAGATTTCTTGCTGAGCATGGTGGCGCATGCCTTTAATCCCAGCACTTGGGAGGCTGAGGCAGGCGGATCTCCTTGAGTTCAAGGCCAGCATGGTCTACATAGCGAGTTCAGGCCAGCTGGGGATTTCTTTTTATTTTATGTGAATATGTGTGTGTCTGAGTATATGTAAGTATACCATGTACATGCCATTGCTTGTGGAGTCCAGAAGAGGGTGCTGGATCCCCTGGAACTGGAGTTATATTATGAGCCTCCTGATGTAGGTGCTGGGAACCAAACCCTGTTCTACAAGACCAGCAAATGTTCTTTGTTTCGGAGACATCTCTGTAGTCCCTTCTTTCTACTCTTTTACCTAGCATAGAATATTCTTTTACATTCTTTCCTGGCTCTTGTAATCATCTGAGTTTTCAACCTCTACTTAAGTGTCTTGCATGGAATCTTATACACAGTAAAGTATTCAATAAATGTCTATTGAACTGCATCATCCTAAGTCAAAAAGGGCAGGAGATCCCAGGACTGTCATTACCATGAATATATCCCATTCCAATTGGTTGAGTGATACATACCTACAGACAAATCCATTTTGCTGCCTGAATTATCTTCAGTTTGACTCTGAACAAAACAAAACAAAACAACAAAAACAAAACAAAACAAAGGTGAGAGACAATTAAGGATACATGTATTTCAATAAGGGGAGAAGTGTCATTATTCATGAAAAAGCCACATCTTACCACAGGCACTCCAGAAGACCCTCTGATGTGAACTCCTTTTTTTTTTGGGGGGGGGGGATCTTTTTGAGACAGGGTCTCCCTGTAGTCCCCTCTGGCATGGAACTTGCTATGTAGACCAGGCTGGCCTTGAACTCACAGAGATCTGCCTGCCTCTGCCTCCTGAGTGCTGGGATTAAAGGTATATGCCACCACCCCTGGCTTTGAAGTGAACTTTAAACTGGAATGAAGACAATAACACTTTTACTATCATAGTTTGATGGCCACTCATGCTTAAAGGCCTAAAGTTCAAGTCCACATGAAATCAGTTCCAGTACAGCTCTGCACAAAGGATAAGGCAACAGCTGCCTAGACGTCAACCTGTCCTCAAGTCCCAGCACAAGATCAAGATCCATGAGGGGTAGCCAAATAATGCCAACTTCTTATGACCTGTCAAGTTATCCAATCTTGAAACGTGCAGCAGAGCAGTCATTTGTCTTTTGCAGCCAGGACAGGGTGTCCCCATAGTGTTCCAGGAGATAGGCAATGAGAGATTCCATAAGAATTCCTAAATAATTAATCCCAGTATAGTTTTTATAGTTTTGCGGTTGTCATTTTAAAAAGTATGATGTAATAATGGTACAATATTGTCAGTATAAATGTTTAACTCTTTCTTCCCTACAAGGACATGAAGGTGATTCACCTTTAATGTTGGTGCATTTATCATTTCATAAAGATAGAAAACAGTACTGTTTAGCTCAAAAGACTAAGAGCATTGCTCAACTGGTCTTTAAATCTGTATTTTGCACTATGTGTGGCAGTGGTCCTTTGATTTGTACTAAGCCTGAGATTTGGGATATGTTATACATGAGAAAAATTAAAACTTACCAGCAATCCCATATTTGAAAACTGTTTGGCAAGAGGATTCATCCATGAATCATTGTTTCCTCCTTTCAGTGAGCACTAGAAATGATAGATGTAACCTTAGAATCATAGAATTATCTCAGCCCCTGACTACAAATTACACTGAATATGTAAAACCAAGGGTTTATTTTTCTGAACCTAATTTCTCTTGTTATTCTGATTTTATTGCTTCTTATTAAATGATTAATAAGCCCTTGGTTCAGTCATGTCTTTGCCTCTACTCATCATAGTGAACTGGAAATAACTGGAAAAGTTTTTACTTTTTACACAAAAAGAAGTCAGTATCAGATGTGTAAAGTATTTACTTGATATGCTAACACTTCCATGTCTAGCAGGGCGTTCTCCTAAGACCCAAGCTGCTGGTATTAGGAGAAAAGAGTTGTTGTTAGTGCATGTTATTTGGAGAGAAGCATGTTTCAACTGGACACCATTATCTGTGTGGCGACAACACATCCAGGGAGCACTTCATCAGTTTGTTCCACAGCATAAAGGACACCAATGGAAGACACTATTCCTGAGCTTCTGGACACAGTAAGGCAGAGTGGGTCTATGAGTCTTAAGAGGACACCCTACCTAGTCTCTCCCCTGAACAAGGCACACACCATTGGCTCCACTGTGATTCCATGAACAAGGCAGTGATTTGGTGGAAGAGGGGATCATTGGCCCTTGTAAAGCTGTGCTTTCTATAGGTAAAAACTCTATGGCTATTATCTGTTATATCTATCATCACCATCAAATTTTGAGACAGGGTCTCACATAGCACAAGAGAGCCTCAAACTTCACTATGAAGCCTAGGATAACTTGAACTCCAGATCCTCCTACCTTCATCTCTCATGTGATGAGAGGTGTGTGCTGTGATTACAGGTGTGTGCCACTACACCTGGCTCAATATTATTATTCCTGAAAGTGATGGGATACCTAACATTCAGTTATAGGCTATTTAAAATGAAAAAGTCTCATGGAAGAGAGGGGGACAGGAAGTTATTATTTAATAGGTACAGATCCTCAGTTTTACAAGATGAAAATAATTCTGTGTATGAACATACTTAATGCCACTGATGGGACATTTTAAAATGGTTAAAATGATAGTTTACATTATGTGTATTTTGTCACATTAAAAAAGAGGTTCTTAGTATTAAAGGTCAGAATCACTGGCACCAGAATCAAAACATTCAGCTCCAAATTAAATAAATTCTGGGTGCCATCTAGGAGCATTCATTAGTACTTTTGACTCAATTTGGGCCCATGGTTAATTTATTTGTAAATGACCAAAAGACTGCCAAAAATAGACTACAACATGAGAGTACAAAGAGGAAGAAGAAAGAGTTCAGTAATTCCTTTTGTGACTAGAATAGGAAATCAAAGTCCTTAAAAAAGGGAAACTTACGGGGCTTATACTGAGTTCATACTGTATAACTATATTAATTCAACTGTGAACCTAGAAACTTACAGCCACTTGTGAAAGAGATGTACTCTTGCTCTGGAGTGTGTTACTGAATATTTTAAAGCTGTAATGAAATGTTTCTTCTAATCATGTAGTTATTAAAAATTAAAAAAAACATTTTAAAAGAAAAAAAGAAAGAAAATATTCTTGAACTAATCAGATTATCATATTAGCAATATTGGGCAAAATTAACAAACTAATTTTTTCAGCTATATTTAACTGAAACTTCATTACTTGTTGGCCACCTGTAATGGAATAAATATGTTTCTTTTTCACTGTCCAAACCTGTCCAAAGAGAGCTCTAATTTAACATATATGTATATATATTATCTTTCTACTTCTATGAGTATGTTAATAAATATGCTTTTCTGTTCCTCAAAAAAAAAAAAAAAAAAAAAAAAAAGGGAAACTCAGTTAACAAAGTGTTTCTAACAGAAACTAATTACTCTGGTGTTACAGAAGGAAGTTAGGGTATTTAAATCAATATCCTGCAGGCAAAGGGATGAAGGCTACCTCAAGACTTTTTTTATTTTGTTGTTTTTTTGAGAGGGTCTCCTTGTAGTCCCAGCTGGCCTGGAATTCCCTAAGTAGATCAGGTTGGCCTTGAACTCACAGAGAGCCACCTGCCTCTGCCTCCTGAATGCTGGAACTAAAGGTGTGTGCCACCACGCCTGGTTCTGAAGACCTTTTAAGACAGCACCTGGAATTTGAAACCTGGGAGGATATGAGCTGTGAAGCAGCAGGGCTCTCAGGTTGAAATTAAGCACATGGGTACTTATTCCCTATTTCCAGTGTGTATAATGAAGAGCTAGAATGAAAAAAAAGCTTCTGTCAAGATGGTGATTCAGGTGCAAAGATTACTACGGATTAAAACATAAGTCCTGGGCTAAAGAGATGGCTCAGGAGTTAAGAGCATTGGCTGTTCTTGCAAAGGACCAGGGTTCAGGTCCCAGCACCCACATGGTGGCTAACTCCAGTTACAGGGGATGATCCAGTGCCCTCTTCTGACCTCTGTGGGCACTGCATGATATGGGTGTACTTACATTCATGCAGGCAACATACTCAATACACACAAAATAAAAATATTAAAATAAAATATTAATTCCCCCACCAGCCAATAAAAAACAAACAAAACAAAGCCCTAGGGCTAGGGATATAGTGCCAAAATAGAGTGCTTGCCTAGCATTTCTTGGGCTCTGGGCTCTATCCCCATTACTATAAAATAAATAAATACAATCATAGAAATCCAAGGGGAAACTTAGTTGCTATAAGGAAAGTGAGATGTTTGGAGGGTTACAACCTGGGATAAGTATGTGAGGAATCATTAAGTTGCCGTAGCAGAGCTAAAAAGCAGACTTCATTTTGTTGGGAGAAGGGCTCTGGGACTACTGAATCAGGTAAAATCAAGACAAGCTGATCACCACTGGAAAAGTGAGGACTATCTTCCTTTGGTTTCTCTTCTACATTTTCATGGCAATTTACTATAAGGACTTCTTTGACTTTAGAATACAGAAGCTTAAGGCATATCTGTTGGGTGGTTTTGTTTTTGCTTTTTCAGACAGGGTCTCTCTATAGCTCTAGCTGGCCTGGAGCTTCCTTTGTAGACCAGGCTAACCCCAATCTCAGAGACCTCCCAAGTGTTTAATTGATTAAAAACATATTGCTAGTCCACATAACCTCAATCTCACAGAGACCTGCCTGTCTCTGCCTCCCAAGTGCTAGGTTTAAAAACCTGTAGCATCATGCCAGGCTGATTAAGGCATTTTTAAAAGTAATAAGCCTCGGGAACTTCCAATGAATTACAACAAGAAAACCAAACTTCAGTGACCTCCTTCTGCTAAAAATTTTATTTTACTCGCAGTGCCACTTCTGTAGTTCAAGATATCAAGGTCATGGGGTAGGAAGACAGGAGTAAAAGGGAAGCAGTCATTATTTATAAAGGAATACTTTCCCCTTCTTAGATCTTCGAACCTCCAGCTGTCTCATTCTTTCCGTTAACAAATTCTCAACTCTGCCCTCTAGGAATGAGTAAGCAAGCTAAAACATTTCTGAAGCAAGCTACCTTCATTTGTTTTTTTCCTCCTTGTCCCCAGCTTGCAGAATTGTGGGAGGACGTGCTTCCCTGAGAGCCGGCGGTATTCCAGACTCCTCCATCCTCCTCCTCTTCCCAGCTGGGATGTCGAGTTCCAGTGACTGGCCCGTCACTCTCCCCCCAGCCATCTTGCATAGATTTGGAATCTTTAAGGAAAGAGTGAATCAACTCTTTGCAATAACTACATGTAATAAAAACCAGAGAAATAATCGAGTGCAGATACAACATTTTAGTATCTTTGTAGTTCTGTCTACTCCATCTACACAGCATGGAGAATGTGTAATTCATATCTTAGACAACAAACCAACAGAGCCTTCACACTACCCACTAATAATCAATAGGAATTAAAAACCAAATACATATGAAACACACCCAATCTCTTTTTTAAAACGAAGTGAAGTGAATGATATTCTTTTAGAGAAGAGCCCAATTTTAAAAATATATTTTCTTTACTGTATTTTTTATGTGTATGAGTGTATTACCCACATTTGTGTAACTGATCCCATGTGGCAGAAAGCCCGTGGTGGTCAGAAGAAGGTGTTGGATCCCTTGGAACAGGAGTAACAGACAATTGTTAGGTGCCATGTAGGTGTTGGGAATCAAAACCGGGTTCTCTGAAAGAGCAGTCAGTGCTCTTAACCATTGAGCCATCTCTCCAGCTCCCAGGGCTCTATTTTTTAATCACAGGATGCAGAGCATCAAATTTGAGGCATTTTTGACTATAGAAGATTACATATTGCCAGTATCTGCTGGATGATTTAATCCTTCTTCTTTGCAGATTCAAATTATCCAGAGAAAGAACAACTATAAATGATGCTGAAGAACAGAATATAGTGATAGAATGTGGGGTGGAAGGTGGGGGGAAAAATAGCTCTGTGATACAGAACTGAAGTAGGGGAAGACCCATACAAATCTCACAGTCCTGCTGAGCAGTTTCTGCTGGGTCTGGGGAGCAATCTGAATCTACCTTGGGTCTACTAATGGGTCTGCTATTGCCCATAATGACACAATCAACATCACAATGTCTTCAGAAAACTTGTGACTTCTTGGCAAGTGGAGGAGAATCTTGATCTAAAAAAAAATTATTTTGAGACAGGGTCTCTCTATAGTCCCAGCTGGCCTGGAACTCACTATGTAGCCCAGGCTGGCCTTGATCTCACAGAGATCTATCTGCCTCTATCTCTGCTTCCTGAGTGCAGAGATTAAAGGCATGTACAACCATTAGGCAAGAATCATCATTTTAAAAATGAAGCAGTCATGAAGGCATGATGTGAATTTCTATTATTAAAGCTAGTAATATATTCCTGGCATAAGAGTTCAAAGTATCACAGGATCCTTTTAATCTGTTTTGTTATTCACATTTTGAGCATTCCATAAAATTTCATTATTTAACCAAAAGATAACCCCCCTTAAACCTGCCATTTGATAGTAAAGAGATGTTGCAATATTTTTAAGAAAGTTACATCAAGAAAAGTGTACCTGATACTAATTTTCAATTTAATGAGACATTGTAAGCCAGGGGTCTACAAGTTTTGAAGATTATAGTCACTACATATTGCTAGTCCATCAAGTATAGCTTAGAATTCCTTAAAAAAATTGAGATGGGGGATGGAGAGATAGCTCAGCAGTTAAGAGCACTGGCTGCTCTTGAAGGAGACCTGGGCTTAAATCCCAGTACCCACATGGCAGCTAACCACCATCAGTAACTTTAGTTCCAGGGGATCTGACACCATTTTCTGGCCTGAACAGACACTGTATAACATGGGTGCACTTACCTGCAAGCAATACACTCATACACATAAACGTAAAAGTAAATTAAAAAGACCCCCCTGCCAAAAGTAAATAAAACAAGACAAAAAATTTTTTAAAAGACTGAGTTGACACCGGGCGTGGTGGTGCATGCCTGTAGTCCCAGCACTTGGGAGGCAGAAGCAGGCGGATCTCTGTGAGTTCAAGGCCAGCCTGGTCTACATAGTGAGTTCCAGGACAGCTGGGACTACAGGGAGACCCTGCTTCAAAAAGACAAAAAAAAAAAAAAAAAAAGTTGAGTTGAGGGGCTGGAGAGATGGCTCAGCAGTTAAGAACACTGGTTGTTCTTGCAGAAGACCCAGGTTCAAATCCAAGCACCCACATGGCAGCTAACAACTGTCCGTAACTCCAGTCCCAGGGAATCCAACAGTCTCTTCTGACCTCCTTGGGCATTGCATGACATGGGTGCACTTACCTAGATGCAGGCAATAGACACATACACATAAAATTAAAAAAAAAAAAAAATTGAGTTGAAGAAATATTTGCCAGATTTAAAATGCTCTTACATGGATAGGTGACTGAGAAATTGTATCTTAATTACATGAACAAAAGAATAGAAATACAAAATAGATATGGTAAACATATTTAAGCTACTGATAAAAGTGTATTCCATCCAAATTATAGTCCTGCCCAGATACTAAATCTAAGTTGTTGTTGTTTTTTTTTGGGGGGGGGGGTCTTTTATTTTAAAATTTTGTTTGTTTGTTTATTTGAGACAGGGTTTCCCCGGAGTCTCAGCTGTCCTGGAACTCACTAGGTAGACCAGGCTGGCCTCAAACTCACAGAGATCAGCCTGCCTCTGCCTCCCAACTACTGAGATTAACGGCCACCATGCCTGGCTGTGTGTGTGTGTGTGTGTGTGTGTGTGTGTGTGTGTGTGTTATTTTTTTTATACAGGGTCTCCCTGTAGCCCTAGCTGTCCTGAAGCTGTAGACTAAGCTGGCCTTGATCTCCAAGAGATCTGCCTGCCTCTGCCTCCCCAGTGCTGGGATTAAAAGGCATGCACCACCACACAAGGCAGTTGTTTGTTTTAAACAGGTTCCCCCCCCCTTTACATGTATTTGTGTACATGTGTGCAATTGAGTGTGTATGTACAAGCTGTCAGAGAACAACTTTCAAGAGTTGGCTTTCTTCTTCCATCATATGGATTCCAGGGATCAAACTAGATAATCAGGCTTGGAGACAAGTTTCTTTACCAGAATTTCACCAGCCCTTGTATGTTTGTTTGTAAACCTTTATTTAGTGTATGAGTTTACTGCCTGCATGTAGGTAGGTGTGCCCTTGTTGTGCAATGTCCATGGACTACAGAAGATGGCACTGCATTCTCCTGGAACTGGAGTTATGGACAGTTGTTAGTTGCCATGTAGGTGGCTGGGAATTGAACCCAGGTCCTCTGCAAAAGCAGCCAGTGCTCTTAACTGTTGATTCATCTCTCCAGCTGCTGGTTTTTTTAATGCTTTTTTTTTTTTTTTGGTCTTTTTGAGACAGGGTATCAGTTCAAACTAGCCTGGAACTCACTATGTAGACCAGGCTGGTCTTGAACTCACAGAGACCCACCTACCTCTGCCTCCCAAGTGCTAGAGTTTAAATACTAAACAGCCCTCATCAAAATGCCTGATTCCCTCATTAACAAAGAATCACTGAAGATTAAAATCACAGTCTACTTACTGGGTTTCATGGCATTGGGAGCATTGGTGGGTGTGTTCCCCCAGCCTGTGGTCGATGCTCCGGCATCATCCATTTCACCCCACCCAGGACTGCTTTCATTCGGTTCGCCCCAAGCTGAAGTTCCATTATCTGGAGCAGGTGGTGTGCTTTTGCTCCAGACTGTAAAAGAGAAATGCGTCTCTAATGACCCCTTGATCACCTAGCATCCCATAGAAGTGAAGGGGCAGGCACAATCATACTCTCTCAGCAGAAACAGGTTCTACCTTCATGGAGGACATCTGGAAATGTCACTATTAAAAGGGCCAATGCATATCACTTCTGACCCAGTAACTCCATGCCAGGAAATTATACCCTAAATATATGTGTTAATGGATGAAATCATATGCATAATCATGTTCATCTGATCACTGAGGAAAAATATTGGAAGCAATTTAAATATCAGAAGGAGATATGTTACACTAAGTGTAGGTCCTTCACAACTTATATATCTATCAGGGCAGACAGGTTAGATAAACAGTGAGTCCATGAAATGAATACTATACATGAAGCGATTAAAAGACAGAACCATACATTACAGAAAGCTTAAAAGTATGTGACAGAATAGGATGAAGCTACAGGCATATTGCTTGCCTATAGACAAAGGCCCTGGGTCCCATCTCAGTAATTGTCCCTGTCCCTCCTCTTTCCAAAAAAGTTGGTGAAAAAAGCAAGATAAAGAACACTACAGAAAGTATAATCTCAGCCAGGCATGGTGGCACACGCTTTCAATCCCAGCACTTGGGGAGGCAGAGGCAGGTAGATCTCTGTGAGTTCTAGGCTAGCTACAGGGAGACTCTGTCTCAAAAAGACCAAAACAAAAAGTATAATCTCTTCTCTGTAAAAAAGGTTAGCTATACTTTGCTATACATAGGAGCAAGATTTATGAAAACAACTCAAACTTATAAGAGCTTATCCCTCGGCGATACCCAAGGGGGTAGAGTCTTTCATTTATTATCTTTTGCTTTTCTGTAGAGTTTAAAGATTTTACTATGTGAACATGAAGTTAATGATGTTAGCAGGCTTTATTCTAGATAAGGAGTTGAAGAGCAATCTTCTTTTCTGTCCTCACTCTTTAATTCTCAAAAAAAAGGAATTTGTGCCAGGTGTGTAGTGCATGCCTTTAATCCCAGCACTTGGGAGGCAGAAGCAGGCGGAGCTCTGTGAATTCAAGGCCAATCTGGTCTACATAGTGAGTTCCAGGACAGCTGGGGCTACAGGGAGAGCCTGTCTGAAAAAGACCCATGCCCCTCTGCCGCCAAAAAAAAAAAAGGAACTTGTTAAAAATAATTATTTTAGCCAGGCGTGGTGGTGCATGCCTTTAATTCTAGCACCTGGGAGGCAGAGGCAGGCAGATCTTTGTGAGTTCAAGACCAGCCTGGTCTACTTAGTGAGTTTCAGGTCAGCTGGGGCTACAGGGAGACTGTCTCAAAAAGACCAAAAAAACCTACTTTGTAAGGGCTCCTAATTGCGTTCACTTGCAAATTAGGTTTACTTTGAATATTAGAAAACCACACAGTGAGTTCCAGGGCAGCCAGGGCTACATAGTGGGACCCTATCTTTAAAAAAAAAAAAAAAAAAAAAAAGCCACTTGGAAGGAACTGGATAGATGTAGCTTAGTTGTAGAGTACTTGCTAGTATGCACATTCCTGGATTTGATTCCCCAGCACCATTAAAAAGAAATAAATCTGGAAACCGAAACTGTCCAGATACCAGTTTTGCTATGTAATCATGATAGCCTCTTGAAGAACACCACAGGTTATTTCCCTTTGCTGGGAAAAGAGAAACACAGAGGGCAGGTCCCTGGGCAGAACTAGAAAGGAAAGCAGACCTCCTTCTGCTATGGCTGTAGTTCTTTATTTTCAAATCTAGAGCAGAGTTTACCTGACAAGAAGTAAGTTTTTCACATTATGCAAACCAATACAAATACAGAAAAATAATTCTGGGGACTAACAGTATAGCCATCTTTTCCTTGTGTCAACAAGACCACTGTATGGGGCTGGGGAGATGGCTCAGCGGTTTAGAGCACTGGCTGCTCTTGCAGAGGACCGGGGTTTGATTCCCAGTACTCACATGGCAGCTAACAACCATCTTAACTCCAGTTCCAGGGGATCTATACATCCTCTGATCTCCGTAGGCACTGTATAACACAGGTGCACTTACATACATGCAAGCAATACACTCATACACATAAAAATAATAAAATGTTAAAAACAAAGAAAGACCACTGTGATGTACTAGAGTGACTGGCACCTAATATGAAGAGAAGCTCTCTGAGCAACAGAGCTGCAACTGTATGTAGCAAAGATCCTCAGAGTAAGCTAAATGCACCTAACAAAAATGACTTGGACTAGGATTTCTTCATCAAAACTTTTAAGAGTGATGCTTACCTGATGCTGACTTTCCGGTCATTGGGGTGGGCAGGTTTGGTTCTCGAGGTGCTGGGCCCCCTTGGGAATTCTTATCCCACAGGTTCACGTTCTTATAGTTATAACTATTAGGGTCTCCCCAAGCTGAAGTGCCATCATCGATATCCATTTTCCGACTAATTGACTGTGGGGATGGCTCTTCCCAACCACTGGGTTCCTCATCCTTAGGGGTTGCAGGCTGGGGCCCACTGCTCCAGTTGGAGGTGGAAGGTCGAACACTGCCTGGAGGTGGTGGGGGTGGGCCTCCCCATGAACTAGAAGCTTCTGGCTGTGGTGGTGGCTGTTGCGGCTGTGGCTGCTGTTGGTGTTGTTTATTCCAGGAATTGGGCTGTCTGCCTGTCTCATTCCATGCAGGGGATCTTTTGCAATCTTCCCACCCACCTTTTGAAGATAGGTTTGCATTCCCACCATTCCCCCAAGTTCCAATTTCATTCTGCCCTCCTTCACCCCACCCAGACACAGGCTTACTTGTAGAACTTTCCCAATTGTTATTTTTTGCTTGATCAACTTCCTCTCCCCAACCATTCTTCCCAGAAGTCCATCCTTGGTTCGGCTGGCGTCCACCTCCCCACCCCTGATCTTTGCTGGAATTCTCATTCCAAGATGATGGTGTCTTTTCATCTGGTCGTCCTCCTCCCCAGTTGGAAGAGTTGTTCTTATAGTCGTTCCAGCCTCCTGTGTTCTTGGGGTCCTTCCACTCTGTAGAGGTTGAGAGCTCCCCCCATCCAGACTTCATTTGATTGCTTTGGCTGGGTGCATCTCCCCAGCCCCCTGAGTTCTTGGTCTGTGTGGCAGCGCTCTCCCACCCCTCTGTTCCTTTGTCAGATTTTCCCTCAGGCCTTGGCACCTCTTCAATATCCCACACTGTGTCCTGCTTAATTTGAGTTTGGCCCCAGCCAGTGTTTGAGAGCACCCGGGGGTCCAAATCAGTTCGGCTCAAAAGAGTCTGCAAGACAGCCTGACAATCAGGATGTGTGGGCCGGTATGACCGACGGCCAGAATTATGACTGTCACTACTTCCTCCTTTGTGGTTGCTTCCAGTGCTTTGACCTCCAACTTCACTTCCTGTGGAGCTGGAAGATCTTCCCCAACAGGGAGCCTGGGCATTGCCTTGGTTTTCAGGGAGAGAGTGGCCCTTTTGATTGTCCCATGCTCCAGTGCTAGAATTTGGTTGGTTTGGACCACTCCATTCTCCAATTTTCAACTCATCAGACCCAGTCGGCTGTTTCCATTCTCCCTGAGAGACCCCAGATGTTATTTTGTTCCCTTCACCCCATTTGTTGTCATTAGAGTCCTGAGGGCCAAAGTTCCAGGACCCACCCGTAGACCGGTTATTGTTGTCCCAAGAGTCACTTTTTGACCCAGTTGATTTTGGAACAGGAGCTCCTTTCCAGGAGTCCTCTCTGTCTTTTCCATTGTTCCCATTGTTTCCAGAATTGCTTTGTCCAGAGACTGTGTCAGTTCCAGAAGGCCCCCTAGCTGCACCCCAAGATCCAACACTCCCAGTCTTTCGATCTCCAGTGCTTTGTGAAGGGGTGTCAGTGCTCCTGGAGGTGTTCCCCAAGCCCAATCCAAAGGGCATTCCCTTATTTTCCATGGGGTTTGGTGAACTTAAGTTCAAGGAGTTAGTGTTTCCATTTTTTGGTCCATCAGTGTTATGAATTTGAGCCTGTTCTCTGCCAGAGACAACAAAATTAACACCCGCATTTTCCATCTTTGAATGCTGCTCCCTGGATGCCTGACCTACTGTGCTAACTTGTGCACTGGAATTACTACTATCTGTTTCCAATGGCCCTTTCCTAGAAGTTCCTTCTTGGACCAGGGCTGGCCAAGCAGATGGGTTGCTATTTGGGTTAAAGTTGCTGAAGCCAGAGCCAGGTCCAATTCTATCTTGCCCACTCACATTCCTCCAATTTCCTAGTCCATTGTTGCTCTCTGAAGCAGAGCTGGAAGATTGAACAGATTTAGCCTTAGGATCAGATTTCCAGACCCCAAGATTACATTCGTTCCCAGAACTTGCAGACTGGCACTGGCTCCCTTTGCCTTTGTTACTAGTGGTGCTTCCTGGCAGAGTGCTCTTCTCAGAGCCAGGGTTCGAGGCACTGTTGTTATCGGTGGTGTTTTCGGAAGAAGATTCAGTGTCTTTGCTGGCAATACAAGGCCACTCTTCCATGTCAGACCCGTCTACAATCACCTTGTCCCAGATGTGAACTGGGTTGGGGGAGGTGCCGTTGTTGGAGGAGGCTCCCGGGCCCCAAGTGGAATTTGCATAATTTGAAGCAGCAGCACCTCCAAGGGTTGACTCTGGGAAAGAGATCATCTTGATCAGTCACAGCTGCACATCAATACCTGGAGCTCAGACTCCCTGGGATCCAGGAGAACTCACTCGATCTCCCCTAGACTGGCTTGTCCACTTGGTTACTTATTTTGTGTGATTTTAACACAAGTTCTGGAGTCAATTCTTTTTTGTTGTGTGTGTGTGTGTGTGTGTGTGTACGTGCGTGTGCGCACACGTGCACATGTGCCACGGCACAACATGTACAGATCAGAGGACAACTTACTTGAGTTGGTTCTCTGCTACCATGTGGGACCCTGGGACTGAACTCAGGTTGTCAGGCTTATCCACTGAGCCATCTCACCAGTCCTGGTGTCACCTCTTTTTTAATTGGCTGCTGTTACATGTTCTAACTCCATGCCACCTCTCAAAGTTACCTACTTACCGCTTCTACTAGCACAAAAGGACCTTCCTGTACCTTGAGACAAATGCAACAGACTGTAAACTTGTTCTGTGTCTTCAATCCATCCTAACACTTCTGGCTGGAGTAGCTTTTCTAAAATACCCCTCTGATTCTATCACTGTTTTATGAGAACCTTCACCATCTTCCCAGTGCACAGAAATCAACTACCTGAGTGGTTTGATCAAGACGTTCCATGACCTAGGATCAACTAACCTTTCTGGTCTTATCTCCTACAACACTCTGTGTAGATGTCTACATCCCACAAATGTGCTTCTCACTTTGGCACCACTCCAGGCTGGCACCTACTGTTTTTGACTCCTGAATTCATACAGTAAAATTACTCATCTTTATGGGCATACTTCAAGTGCCATTCATTTATGAAGTGATTTTTGAGCATGTCACCTGTAAAATCATCTTTCTTTAGTAAGAGCCATTTTCCTTAGTGCTATAAGACTGTGCACATCCATCCTTCCCCACACTGGTACCTTTTCATCAGAGCTCTTATCTTGCTAATGTGTGAATTCCATACAGTAGCCTGTGCATTCTGCTCAGTACGCCTCTGCTGAATGAAGAGTGTCCCTGAGCTGGCTGTAGGGACACAGGAGCATGGATCAGATAGGATCAAGCCCAAGGGGCTTAATCTGATAGATCAGTCCTGCTTAGCACATATTTCAGTGTAACGTACCACACCTGGTGAGGGGAAAAATAACATTTTTCGTTGAGAATTCTTTCCAAACTTATTTTAGCTCCTTTGAACTGAGTAGTTTTCAACTAGTATGAATGGAAAACACCATTATGTACAGCTCTATTAAAATGAGGACGTACAGAATCTCAGCATCTTAAGATGTTGGCTTTGTCAATGCTTGGTGTTCAAGCTCTGTTTTTTTTCTCAAAAATTCTTTTGTTTGTTTTTGACAGGGTCTCTCCAGTCCCAGTCTGCCTGGAAGTCACGATGAGGACCAGTCTGGCCTTGATCTCACAGAGATCTGCCTGCCTCTGCCAGGGCTTGGGTTAAAGGTGCACACCACCATGCCCAGTGTCAAAAACTGCTTTTCTAAAAAAATTTTTTAAAAATATTTTTTTATTTTATGCATATGCATGTATTGCCTGCATGTAGGTAAGTGCACCTGTGTCGTGCAGTGCCTCTGGAGGACAGAAGAGACTATCAGATCCCCTGGAACTGGAGTTACAGACAGTTGTTAGCTGCCATGTGGGTGTTGGGATTTGAATCTGGGTCTTCTGCAAGAACAATGTTCTTAACCACAGAGCCATCTCTCCAGCCCCTGCTTTTCTAAATTTTATTAGTTAATTAATTTGTGTGTGTGTGTGTGTGTGTGTGTGTGTGTGTGTGTGTGAAAAAATATACAAGCACTACAGTGTACATATGGAGGTCAGAGGACAACATTTTGGAGTCTGTTCTTTGCTTCTACCATGTGGGGCCTGTGGATTGAACTCAGGTCAGGTTTGGCAGCAACCTCATTAATTACCTGCTGAACAGTGGCCCAAGCTCTAAATTTTAATGTACCTTAAAAGATATATTGGCACCTCAATTCAGAATAAGCCCCATAAAGTCCCATTTTCTGAACATATCAGTGGAACCAGTTTCCTGCCTAGACACTGAAAACCTAGTCAAAGAACTGCCCATACACACTGTGTGCTGGGATCTGCTCTATCTTTTGCATAATCCCAACAGTCTATATAACTAATGGTTTTCAAAGTGACACCATGCAATGAAAAAGAAATGCTGCTCTCCCTTCCATTGTAGCCCACGTGCCCTCATTGCCCCAGTGCTGCTGCCTTACCTGGTACAGTCCCACTCTCACTCTGCAGCAGCGTTCCTGTCACTTGTGCGTTGTTTGGGTTTGCTCCAGGTGCTGCGCAGGGAGGAGGCCCTGCTCCACCCCCGAGGAGCATGCAGGACGGTGGAGGGGGCTGTCCACGTTTTAGTAACACTTTGTGGTCCTGCTGGCAACGGAATCGCGGTGGCACCTCCCGAGGCATGTAGCGGGCGGCGCTTGGCGGTTGTCCGTTAGGCACTGCCACCCTTTTGGCATTGTTGCCACCATTGACTGGTGGCGATGGAGAGCTGCCAATGGGGCTGGCGGCCGCTGGTTGGCTTAAACTTGGTTTCGTCACTTCGGGCACTGCAAGACAAGAGTTGGGAAGGTCTGTGAAATCAAATCCATTTTTCTGATTTTTAAAAAAAATTGTTTTTATTTATTATTTTAGTTTTATGTGTATGAGTGTATTGCCTGCATGTATGTGAGTGCACCTGTGTTGTGCAATGCCGTGGAGGTCAGAAGAGGGCTTAGGATTCCCCTGGAACTGGAGTTAAGGACAGTTTGTAGCCGCCGTGTGAGTGCTGGGAATTGAACCCAGGTCCTCTGCAAGAGCAGTCAGTGCTCTTAACTGCAAAGCCGCTTCTCCAGTCCCTCTAATGATTGTTTTTAAGAAAGCTTACATGAGACCAATTCTAACCAGACAAATCTTCCTCTGTTCTGAGAGGACACAGTCTTTCCAAATTCCTTGCCAGGAACTTCAGTTTATTGAGGGCAGGAGTGGTGGTGGGTCATAGTGATGAAGAATCAAAGACAGCAAGATCACAGAGTTACATTCTATTAAGTGGGGAGTGAAGCAACCACCATTCACTTCACCAAATCCTGGAAGGGCTGACTAGCAGGTACAAATGACAGCTGTGGCAAAGTCCTCAGTAAAAGGTGAGGCTTCTTAGCCCAGGGGATTCCCCCCTTCAATTTCTTTCTTAAAATTATTTTCTACCTTTATTTATCTGCTCCCCCACAATGTGTGTATGTGTGTATATGTGTGTGTGTGTGTGTGTGTGTGTGTGTGTGTGTGTGTGTGTATACACAAGCATGCCATGGTGCACTCGTGGAGATCAAAGGGTAACTTGTTAGTCATTCTATCCTTCTACCATGGGGGTCCTGGAGATCTAACTCAGATCATTAGGTTTGGTGGCAAGCACCTTTACTTACTTGGTGAACCAACTCACTAGTCCATCATCCAGTTTCTTAAAAGAAGGCCTTTGTCTGGGAGGCAGAGGCAGGCAGATCTCTGTGATTCAAGGCCAGCCTGGTCTACATAGTGAGTTCCAGGCCAGCTGGGGCTACAGGGAGACCCTGTCTCAAAAAGACCGGGCCGGGGGGGGGGGGCGGCTTTGTGAACCTTTCCTGAAGTCCCTGGACCAAACAAGTGGAACACACTTCACCTGTGTTCTTGTAACATGCTGTGCAGTGAATTCACTGGGTTATATTTGAATTCTCTACTTATAGGCCCCTCTCACTGGCCATAAGTCCCTCAAGAACAGGGACCCATCATTCATAATTTTTTCTCTGGACAAGCACAGGGTAGGCACCTACAGAGAGCTATAGACCTGGAGAATCACAAAACTGGCTCTGCTTCCTTTATAAGCCACCCCAAACTCAAAGCCTTGTCAGCATCTTCATAAATGGTAGAATTATAAATCTTTTAGTGTGTGGTGTTTATTTTTGTTGTTGTTTGTTTTCTAGACAGGGTCTCTCTGTAGTTCCAGCTGGCCTGGTACTTGCTATGTAGACCAGACTGACCTCAATCTCAGAGATCTGCCTACCTCTGCGCAGCTATTTTTAAAAATCTTTTAGCTCTTTCATTAATACAAACTATCAAAGAGCATAGAAATGTGTAACAGAGCCATCAAGTTACTACACCCTGCTGGACCCACTGGCTCCCCTCCTCATGCCTACAGAGCTGGTTCTCTCTGATCTGCACCTCCAGTCTTTACCCTAGCAAAAGACCATCATTGCTCCCCTATTAGCAGTATTTTTGAATACTTTGTCTGAAAAAAAGATCATTACTCTTCCCAAGAAAATCTGTCCTGCAAACAGAGGCTGGCAGTTTTATAAAAATAATCTGAGGCCCAAATCCCTGCCAATCAGAGTAATGCTGGGGCCAGCAGGTTGCCATCTAACTGGTTCCTTTATAAGGAGATACATCATCAGAAACCAGGGGCCCAGACTATCTACCACTGTACATTACTGAACACTGCGATTGACAAGATAAAAGAATAGTTGCCTGAAGTAAGTTCCAGGTAACTCATATGTCTATCCTTAGCCAACTGCAAGGCAGTACTGGCTTCCCAGTCAAAGGGCAGTGGTTGCAATGTGATGAGCAGAATGAAATTTTAAACAAGTCATTTTCTAATATTAACACAGTACCCTCTGTAGAAGATATAGCAGCGGATGGACAAATAACTGGTAAATGAAAGAATAAGGGTCATTTACAGATCCCTTTGCTGTTTCTTTATGAAAGATGCCATGACATTTACTATCTTTTATGAGAATAAGGAAGACGCTGGCATAAAAGCTGGGTGGAAGCTTTAAGTGAACCAGATTGGTCACAAGCTTTAACTCATTTTTTAAACTAAGACAAATTAGGGGAGCCTAAAATGAACAATGATCTAACTTTGGTCTGACTGACTTTATAGCATCCACGGCTATTTCTTTCTTTTTTTGAAATATATTTTTAAAATATTTTATTATTTTTATTTTGTGTGTGTGTGTATATGCATGTATTGCCTGCATGCAGGTAAGTGTGCCCGTGTCATGCAATGCCCGTAGAGAACAGAAGAGGCTGTCGGATCCCCTGGAACTGGAGTTACTGACAGTTGCTAGCTGCCATGTGGGTGCTGGGATTCAAACCTGGGTCTTCTGCAAGAATGTTCAGTGTTCTTAACTGCTAAGCCATCTCTCCAGCCCCCTTTTTAAATATTTTTATTGAGCTTTTGTACATTTTATACAACAGTCCTTAATCCAATCTATGCCCCACCCCCACCCCCTACCAGACCTTGTGTATTCCTGCTATACATGGTAAGTCCTATCTGGCCAAGCATTTTTTTTAAAATAATTTATTGAGAATTTTATACATGCATATAAGGTGTTCTGATCAAATCCATACCCACTCCCTCCCCTCCAATTCCTTCCATATCTCCCTATCACTTTTTTCTGATAACTTCATGTGCTTTTCTTCTTCTTTTATTTATTTATTTTTAATGGGGCTTTTGGCTGCTCTAACATTCCCCCCTCTGAAGAAGTAACCCTAAAATCTTTTAAGGATTAGATAAAAGTTCCCAAATACTTTCAACATTTTGGCCTTTGGAATGGAGTACGTTGCTAAGAGGCCCAAGCACATTGTGAGTTTTAGCCAAGAAACTGGCTACTTTTCTTTGGGGTCTTTTTACCCTAACTGCCTAGCCAATTCCTACCTCCTGTTCTTATCACACCATCCTCTGAAGAGGTTATCCAACTTGTGGATAGGAAATTAGGACTCAGACTGCTCTGGCTTCTTCCATGCTGAATAGGGAGGGACGCAGGGTGAGGCAATTAGAGTACCCTTTCAGTGGGTCTATCTAAAATTAGACTCCCAAATTGCATAACTCTTATCACATGGAAGCAGGATCCAGGTGCTCTCAGGCAGTCCCCTACAGTCTCAGCCCCTATGCCAGAGGGAGGCCAGAGCCGGGCACTCTTTGGCGGTCTGCTGAGATCACAGCCGCTACACTGATGGAAGTCAGAGCCCACCCTCTCAGGCTGTCTGCTAGGACCTCAGCCTTGGCCTCGCATCTACGGCTATTTCAACCAAAAAATACAATGGGCATTATACACTGTGCAAGTTTCCCTGCGCAACCCCCACAGAGCATTTTCTTACTACCATATCATATCAGAGATGGATATGGTAAATGTGAGAACACAACTACTTTCCCTCTGATATGCTTCTGTCTCAGGAGCTTTGTTGGTAAAACCAGGACATGATTTAAAAACACACACACACACACACACACACACACACACACACACACACACACACACACAGGACCCTGTGAATCAGCTAACTATGCTGGAAGATCTAAATGGATTTTTTTTCTTTATTATACTTCTTGGTAATAAAGAACTTTTAAGCAAGCTGATGAGATGGCTCAGCAGATAGGGGTACTTGCCACCAAGCCTGACAACCTGAGTTAGATCCCTAGAGCCTATGTGGTAGAAGGGTAGAAGGATAAAACTGACTCCTGCAAGTTATACTCTGACCTTCGTGTGTGTGGCTTTCTCTCTGTCTCTCTCTGCCCCCATACACACACACACACATGTATACATATATGTATATATAAAACATATATATATATAATATATATGGATATAATATTTGTGTTTTTGAGTGTATCACCTGCATGTATGTAAGTGTACCCATGATGTGCAATTCCTGCAGCAGTCAGAAGAGGGTGTTGGATTCCCCTGGAACTGGATTTAGGGATGGTTGTTAGCCAACATGTGGGTGCTAGGAATAAACCTCAGTCTTCTGCAAGAGCAGCCAGTGCTCTTAACCAGAGTCATCTCTCCAGCCCCCAAATCTTTTGTAATGTATATACTTAAGGAAGTTTCTACAGTGGGGAATTTTCTTATGGCTTTTTCTAAAGCACTTAAGTGTTTATCACTCCCCATATTCCCTCCTTTGCCCTACCCTCTCATTCTCCAACCCACTAACCCTTCCTATTCTATATTTTCCCTTTCTCCCTTTATATCACTGCATTCTATTGCCACTCTCATGAAGACACACACACACACACACACACAAACACACGAACACAACCATCCAAAGAAATATGTATATATAAAACATATATATATATAATATATATGGATATAATATTTAAAGGCAAGCAAAATTCTTGATACTTATTGGAGACAAAGCAGCTGTTAGGCAGGAGCAGGTACATTTTATAGTTTTTCCAAATTCAAAGTTAGGACATTAGAATTAGTGTACCTCAAAAAGTGGCTCCAGAATGTCAGGGGACTGTAGAGCAGAGATAATTATTAAGTCTGAATGTATTGCTTTTCAGGCCCACTCTTCTGAATTTTAATGATTTGAAGGTTGTAGCACAAATATGTCTAAAAATGAGCTGCTCTAAATAAGGTCATAGGTTTTTGGTTCTGAGATAGCATCTCGAGTAGCCAGCCAACTTGTTCTGTAGCAAAGGATGACCTTGAACCTCACATCTTCCTGCCTCCATCTCCCAAAGGCTGGCATAACAAAGTACTGGGATTAGAGTAGTATCCACCAACCAAGTCAGGTTTATGTGGTGCTGAGGATCAAA